CGACGAGAGGTTTCGGTTTTTGCTATAGAAAGCTGAGCGGTAGAATATTTACCGTAGCCTTTAACTCCTTTGTATAGTGAGTTTCAACTCGGTTCAAGCGGAAATTGTACTGGCGGGAGTCCGCTTCGCAACGGTTCGCGCCTCTTTGCAGTCTGCGTCTCTTCATTCCAACCTGTCTCGCCGAGCCAGTGGCGGTGCAGACGCGCTGCTCCACTTGGAATGTTTCGCCTAGTCCGGGTTGAGAAAGACTGTATGCCGTACCGCTAGATGGTTCGATCTGTTACCAAGTGAGGTGGTTTTATGCGACACATCGGCTAAATTCCGCAAAAAATTAGCCTTCATCAACGTCTTGAATACTCTAGGAATCCCTGATGTTCATAACAGAAGATTTTTTGAATGGGGTGTACTCTTGTATTCTTAGCAATTTTTTCTTCTATGATGTTTTATTTCTCTTTTTTCGATGCGTAAAAAGTGAGCAGAATTGCTTAGTATCGTAATGTGCTTTTCAGTGGATTTTTGCTTCTTCTTTTTGACAGCACCGGTATAGAAGTCTTCGCAGGGATTAGCCGTTTGAGGACTCCGAATTCGGTGAACCCCCTACCTTGTGGTCCCCCCTGCCACTCGCACAGGGTCTCTGACGGATTCGCCCGCCTCGAGTTAAGTCTGTCAGCCCAGCCCCGGTTATCTATGCCAGAAACTGCGTTTGGATAAGGGAAAAGGATTTCGGTAGGGGACTACTCACCTTCTAAAGAAGGAAGACGACCTGATGACACCAGCAAGGGACTCTCTCAAACATTTGCTGAATTTTCGTCTTTTTTCCTTTTTCGCGGTGCACCCTTGCGTGTAAATAAATAAATAAATGAATAAATAAATAATAAATATATAAATAAATAAATAACAAGAAGTGCTGCCATAAAGAGTACTCAATTGAGTCTAGGTACCATTCTGCTCGCCAGGCAAGCAATCTATACTCAGGGGTATGACGGAACCACCACTATGAAAATGGGATGCTACGCAACAAACTAGGCAACCCTTGTACAACCTAAGATGCTGGATGAGCCACAAACTGAATAGCAAAACGGAAGTAAGCTCGGTAAGAATATACTGGGCAGTCTCCTTAGGTTAGCTTTATGCACCAAGTCGGAGAGAAAAATTAGACCTAAACTGTGGCAAATGTGTTTCTCGTACTAAAGCAATGGTAGACCGTTGTGTACTGAAGGCGTGACGATGATGACAAACATCTGACGATAGGTCACGCCTAGGATATGACCTTTACGTCGCTCAGGCAGGATCAATGATATGGTGAAAGTGCCGAAAGTCGACACAAGTTCTTGATATGCGAATCATACAGTGGAAGAGTACGTAGCAGGGTTTGCCACAAATGTGCACGCTGGGGCTCTCCTTCAAGACCTAATGTACTCTATCTATAAGGCCCGTATGCACGTACGTCCCCGCTGGGGAGGGGAGGGGAGTTGGATCCCCAGGGGAACGGTCCCCTCCACTGAACCCCGCCATGACAGAGGGGAGAGGAGCGATCCCCTCCCCTGCACCTCAGTGAGGATGGTGTGAATGGTCCCGAGGTGTCTAATCAAACATATAAGGAATCCTTAACTCAATTCAAAAATCTGCAAATAGCGGGAAACCGCGCGGTGGTCCCGTAGCGAACACTCTTCCAATTAGCACCTTTAGATCACTGGTTCACTAGTTGATCCAATGAACTCCAGTGCATACGGGGTTCGCGTGGGGGAGGGGATCCCTTTCTCCTCCCCACTCGATCCCCGTATGCACAAGTGTAAGTCAACAACGCGGGGGAGGGGATCGACATCCCCTACAACGGAGTAGGGGTTCGATGGTGTAGGTCATGCCAGAGAAGCGACTAATCTGATTTCAATCAGTTATTACAAAGCATTTTGTTCAAATTGATGAAAGATTTTCCATGGTAGCGGGTTCCTCTCTCAGCGACCTGTAGCTTGCAGTTCTGTCTCTCTCTTCTATATTATCTTCTCGTGAAGAAATTCGGGCATATATCTGCCAGTTTCGAATATCTGTAGGAGTTTCTAAACATTCTCGAGATTTGCGCCTTTTTTATATGACATGCTAGTTATATCCATGAAGACTGGTACAACACATTGTAACTATCATATTATATGATATGATGTCTTTATCTTGTTATTCTAACGTAAGCTGCTTTGAAAAAAAAATGAAAATTAGCAGATTTGCCCATTTCTGAGTAGAGATCCTCGGGAGAGTGATCCCCTCCCCAGCGTTCCCCTCGTTCATAGCAGGGAAACCGCTGGGGATCATTCCCCTGAGGTAAAGGATGATATGTCGCCAATAGCTTCAGCGTTCATGGAGAGCTGGCACGATTTGCAGCTTCTGTTATGCGTAGAAATGCTGGTTAGCTCCCCCCCTCCCCTTTTTTTCGGCAGCATAGAGTCTTCTACCCGTCCCCTGCAGAGAGATCTGACTTCTATTGTTGAACACCTTTACGCTAAAATGGGCAGCATCGAAGGTGAGCAGCATCATGACAACAGCAGGACTAATTGGGCCTAGAAAATATAATTTTTGGTGTGCCGAGCGCATTCACGATAGATGTGCATTCCGCAACGCCTAAAACATTGCCGATGACGAAAATTGAAGATAAGCAGTCGTCGAAAGATGAGAATACAAAAAATCGCCATATGAAAGCGAAAGAAAAGAGCTGTCCCCGCTCTCCCTTGTGCATAAGGGGGTTCCTCTCCCCTACTCCCAGGGGATCCCTTTGCCGATATTGTCTGCTTGCATACGAGGGTTCGCCTGGGGTAGGAAGGGGAGCCCCAGCGGGGATCATTGCAATGGTTAAACTCACATCCCCTCCCCGCGGGGATGTACGTGCATACGGGCCTAAGGCTTGATACATACATCGCTGCTTAGGTATGGACAAAATGTGCGAGCAGCGAGAGCAGCGCTGCTTGAGCTGAGCAGCGCTGCAACTTGAGCTGAGCAGCGCTGCAAGGAACGAAGGATTGCTGCCCCGCAACACCTCAAAACACGCGCTGCGTCCTAACTAGGGCGCGATAAATGCCTCAATACATAATTATCGTTTGCCCTTGTTTTATGGAGTCACTTGCGCCTCAGTTCGTTTATCACTTGATTATTTTATGCATATGTGTTGGTCGTGTGACGTCGTGTGACGTCGTTGGTCGTGTGATTATCAATGCATGCAAACACTCGATACATTTGCTACTTGCAAACAAAAAAGAAAAAAACAATCAAGACTTCAAATACCAACGTTCGTTTTGCAAATTAACAATAAGAGGAACGAAAATGAAATTGTTCAGCATGATAATACGACAAAACAATAAAAAAGGCAGAATGGGATGATGAATCTTTGACAAAAATTGAAAAAAAGGAAGAAAACTATCCAAAACACGCAAATTTCAAAAAAATGAGTTCAAAAACACATAAAATCAGCTGTTGCAGCTCAAAGCAGCTGAGATCAGCTCAGAGCAGCTGAGATACGCTCAGAAAAAGTGAGCGTAACTCAGCTGCAAAATCCAGTTGCAGCGCTGCTCAGCTTGAGCAGCGCTGCGCAGCGCTGCTCAGAATTGAGACGCTAGGTATGGACATGACCTTTCACGTTAGCTGCTGCAGCGCTAAGCAGCGGCGTCACTCCGCTGCAATCAATACGCACTAAAAGCGTTGCTGCCACCGCTACGTATGGACACCCGCCGCCAGGTATGTTTTAAGCCTAAGGCTTGAGATATACCTGGCGATGGAGGTATAGCGGGTGTTGGCGAATCGCTGATGTCTGCGCTGCCCTTAGCTGCTCGTGGCTGCTGCGCTGGGTATGCTGTGGGTGCAAGAACAAAGTAGCTTTACCTATTACTATTACTTAGCTTAGGTCATTAAGGAAAGTAAGTCTTGACGATTACCAAAACTGAGAAATAATATGAGACCCAAAAAAGTCGTACTGTTTTCATCAGGAAATTTTCTTTATAACAATCATAAAATGGCGTGCCAAATGTTGCATATACTGAGAAAATTTTAATCATTTGACAGATAGCAAGCGAGTGTCACAGTTAGACCTTGATGTGTGCTTGAGGCAACATCTAAACTATCTAGGTCATAGCAGACGTTAATTTGTTGAGGTGTACTAGTAATATCCCACTGAACCGTTTGAATCCTCTAGCTTTTCATCGTTACTCTAATTTGACTACGCAGTTGATCAGATTTCATTCTTTGTCGACTTCGTCAATTCTATATCGATTTTCTTATCGATGCATTTGCGTTTCGGTGAAAATTTGTCATAGTTCATCAGTATCGAAACTGCTCTGAAAATCCTTCAGAAATTCAGAAATATGTTAAAAAAGGAGCAAATCCGAGCAAAATCAGCGTTAGCAGCTCGAAGCAGCTGAGAGAAGCTCACAAAAAGTGAGCTTCATATCGCATAGCAGCGAGGAGCAGCAACGAGCAGCTGGGAGCAGCAGAGAGCAGCAAGAAGCAGCGCAGCATCGCTAGCTATAGCGGGTCTGTTTCGCATTGGCTGCAGCAGCTAGGAGCAGCAGCGTCGCCTGGCGTCAATCGATACGCACAAAAGACGTTGCTGCTCGCAGCGTCTTATCGTCAGCTATAGCCACCCATCGTCAGGTATATCTCAAGCCTAAGTGAACACGCTGTAAATGTCACAGTTTCTTTTCTCGCTCGGTGCTTTCACTAGGCTCTACATACTTTTCTCTTTGCTATTTATTGGTGAGCAGGCTCGAAATGAACAAACATGTACATATTGCTTCAAAAGCATCCCGTTCCGTTTCAAATATGGTGCTACCTGAAGCCAGGCTGCTACTGTAATTTTCACATATGTCCAACCTATATCCGCAGCGATAATGATTTGCATGCCTCATGTTCCATCAAGTTGGAATTTGCAAATCACTTTATTTTGGATTTGTTACCACTTTGAAATGAAAAACCAACTTGAGCTGAAAGCTCTGCACCAAGTGATTTCATATGATGCTTTATAGAATTTTGCGTGTGACTGCACATGCCGCATTTCATGTGACGGCTCAGCTGGCGTATACGGTCACGGGAACCACCTTTTTACTACTGAAACGGTGGAAGATGCGCCGATAATTTTCCGGTTATTAAGAGTGAACGGCATAAGTGAGTTTTAAGTGATGGTTATCATCATTATCACATGTCATAAAGTAACCGCAAAAGCTTCTTACAGAGACAAGAGTTATGCCAATTATGGCTTATCAGAAACTTGGCGATAGTGGTGCAGAAATAAGCAGTGATTGTTTGTCAGATGAAGAAGATGGGCTTCTGGAGCCGCGGTTCAAATATCAAAGGATTGAAGGACCTGACGCAAAACAGGTAAATCTGGCTAATTGGTTGTCATTTGAATGAGGAATTTGGTACGAAGTTACGCCCTTATAAGTTTTGTTTGCCGCGAGTGCGTTCACGGACTAGTCTATTAGGAAGGTCCGAGAATTTCATAGCTACATCATTCTTATACTGTAGTCGTGTAAGCATCCCATGTACTCGGCTTGTTTCTTCCATTTGAGCTTCTTCGGGCCTCCAGTCTGTTGTTTGTTCTACAGGCAGGCATATCTCAAGATCAGATGCTTTTCAGTTGATGGCCACGCAAGTGGTAAGTGCAATCACAGCTCATCTCAAACTCATTGTAATCGGGACCCAAATGGGCTACATATGGATCATGGATCATTTCGGCCATGTGGATCATCAACACGTCCCGGTATGTCGTTACTGAATCTGACGCTCTTTGATGATGTGCTGCTGCATTTTGTCATCGTTGCTTTAGGTAATTCGCCCGCACAGAAGCGCTGTGATGAAACTAACTATAGATAGTGCTGGGAACTATATAATGAGCTGCGGAAACGATGGACGGGTTGCTATCTCAGGAGTAGGATGTGATGAGTTGAATTATGTCAGTTGAACGAGAACCATTCATGGGAAGGACTCCTTTTTTTGTATGAATTTATCATTCATCTGTATTAAGGTAATAAACATGGCGGTCATGCCTCGTTCTATAGCCATAAGCCCAACTTTCTCAAAACCAGCCTCTGTACCGATGTTCGTGATCGCTGAAAGGAACTTGGCCATTTACGAGAAGAAGTTCTTCAAATATAGGGATAATGTATGCAGTATTTTTATTTTGAAACTACAAATTGAGAAGGTCTATCAAGGTTATTTTTTCTGGTGGAGAGAAGGATGGTTTCATCTCGCAATGTTCATGGCAGCAATCACTCATAGCCTTCACAAATGATGGCGGAACAAGAATTTATGACAGGTCAGGAATATACGTATATCTTATAAGTCACTTCCTTGCACATTTATGATGCATACTGATAGTACCAACAGAACCTGTTGAAGAAGAGTTCTGTGTCCTTTATATTTCTATGAAGAACTGGATTATCACGGTGGACTACGCTATTCCTAGAATTGTATTTTTATTTCTAGACTCTCAGAGCGATTGATCTCCCTAATACCTCCATCTCATGATATTGATCTTGCGCGTTCATCCCAGTATCCTCCTTCACATTGCTGGATAGATGATACTCTGGTGGCAATCGCATGGGCGGATACCCTCACAATTGCAAAAGTGAGAACAGTGGAAGGATCGGTAAGTTCTTGCAAATTTGTTGCTTTTGATTGCTTCTTTTTGCCGCTCTTTGCCTCGTTTCGAAATTTGAACCCTGCTTTTAAACAGTTGATGAAAGCCTTATCAAATTGTTCGGTCCTTTGCTGTCCCTCAGTCATTCATCATAAAGGAATAACAAGCTTTAAGATCTCATCAGATTGTTTCTTTGTCAGTCAAGGGTCTATTGAAGTGAAGGCGTTTTTCTTGATTAATGTTCTCCTACTTGCCTTCACTGGTTTGGCAGTCGGACGATTTCAGGCCGTTAGGAGGGCAGAGATCCATTTTTCGTGGCACCTCAGCATGTTTTGTTCGGGAGTATCCTATGCTGTAGGAGATTCTGATGAGTGTCCCAATATCATAGTGTTCGGACTGAAATATGGTTGCGAAGCGATAGCTATTGATACTCCTTCAGAAGTGTCGGTGAGTTTCTTTTTTTTCGGTAATTTAAGCTTGCTGAGAAAAAGTTTATTTCTGCTGCATTATCACTTCTATAACTCTTGGTGCATCTTTGCTATGGCACTCTATCAATGCTGACTGTTTGAGTCTTGGCTTTAGGAACAAACTGTTATATCCAGCAGCTCTAGTGAGTCTAAAGCGGATGATGCAGTACCGTATGTCCAGTTCTGCCTGTTTGAACCAAAAAATTTCTCATCTTACACCCTTTTGGCAGAGGATCGTCTCAGGTTCGAAGTAGCATCTTTATACTTATTGCGATCAACATCAGTTCAGCCTAGCAGCAAATCATTCCTCACAACCATGTCAGTTTGCCATGGTCGGCCTTCCCTGTTACGAGTCTTACTTTCTCGCTGGCCCATCTGATCTCGTTATGGTTAATTTCTTTTCTTTACCAAACTTTTTTGATTTCGTAATCTAATTTTTCGCGGAATTCAAGGTAGTTTGTTTTAGGTGACTCCTTATTGTGCGGAGGACACCATTCGCTGGAGGGTTGAAAACGGATTGATGGAAGAAGCATGGGAATTGGCTTGCGACAAGCACGCTGAGCTCGAAGGTACCAAATGGAACAGCAGATCGATAGGACGTGCAATGATTGAACACCTCATCTCATCCGGGAAACCTCGACAAGCAGCGGCTAGAATGGCAGAGGTTTGATAGATCTAATAAAGGCCTTACGTATGCGGTCTTTTTACTAAATGACGTTTAGTAAAGGTGTGCGGCACTGTCAGCACGGAGTGGGAGTGGGCCATTAGTGCGTTTGAGCGATCTCGTCTGTGCACTCTTATCGCTGAAGTGAGTAGTATATTTACAAGCTAATAAGTTTTACATAGACTTAAGTATTGTTTTAGTTCCTTCCAACAAGTAATCCACAGCTAGAGCCAGAATGTTATGAAACTGCACTTCAAGCTGCGCTATATAATGACGTTGACCTCTTCAAGCGCCTCGTACAGCAATGGTCCCCAGATTTATATCGAACCGGTAATTTTGAGCCCTTAATGGTATTTTTTTTCGCAGTAGACATTATCGTTGTGCTTAAATCACGGATATTTCTTTTTCAAAGTCAAGGACGCATTTTTGAAGTCTAGTCAGACATGTTGTTTTGCTTCTGTGGAGTACCATATCATTCATTCTCTGACTAAGAGAAGTGAGCTTGCTTTGCGTACTTCTGATTAACAAGTTTAGTTCAAAGAGCTCGAACATGTCCTTCCAAGAACTTAATAGTAAATCAACCAAAACGCGTTAAAACTCGCTCGTGAACTTGTTGATCAAACGTACACAAAGCGTGCTCTCGTTTCTTGGTCAAGAATGAATGATTGGTACTCCATAATGAAGATATTCTAGGCATCTGAGGCAGATGCCTGTCGCATACTGTCGCAAAGGGGATATCCAGTGTAATTTGAATATTCAGGTTTTATCACTGGTCTGACGTTGAAACGTATCCAGGAAATTGTTTCGTCCCAGTTGGAGCCAAATCGGTCTTCTCAAAGCGTATGTTGTTGTCAAAATAGTAGTGTGTTGCACTTTTCCGACTTCATTCGGAGTGTTTCAGGATGAAATTCATCTCTATCAGGCATTGGCACATTTGTACCTCCACGAAAGGAAGTTTGACTCAGCGTTGAAGATCTACCTCAGTTTAAAAGATCCGCAAATCTTTGCTGTCATTGACAAATATCAACTCTTTGAACAGGTAATATATTGTCGTAATATAGCGTTGCTAGGTACGAATTGTGTTTTCTAGGTGAAAGACCAGGTATCTGAGTTGATGCGTATCAATACGGATCGTGCTCTGCGACTTCTTCTAGATAACGAAGACAACGTACCGGCTTCTTTGGTTATGGCGAAAATAGCACGTCAGCCGAAATTACAGGTAATTACTTATATCCTTCAGTTACGCTAAAGAGAGACTTTATGCAGCTAGCTTATCTGACGAAGCTTCTCAACAAAAACGAAGGAGCTGAATATGCCGATCAAGCCGTCCGCCTATATGCAGATCATGACAGGAAGAAGTTAATCCCTTTTTTGAGGAAAAATGAGAATTACCACATCCGGAAAGCTTTAGAAATTTGCCGTCAGAAGAACTTCGTTGAAGAGGTAATTCGAGTAATACTTCACTCTTGCTCTCTCTTAGTTATATCACTGCCATGACTATCAGGCTAATTCCACTTTGTATCAACATTCCAAGTCTTTTCTTGAATTTAAACATCTTGCAGATGATTCTGTTATTTGGTAAGAGCGGCAAACATGCTGAAGCTCTTGATTTAGTGATAAAGAAATATAATCAATTGGATAAAGCGATCGAGTATTGCCAGGGTAAGCAATGTGATAATGCATGTTGGGAAATAAGTGCCATTTTTATAGAACACGATGACACTGACTTATGGGCTCGACTGATTGAGGAAGTGATTGAAACACCCGCTCACATAGCATATTTACTTAACCATGCTGGAAGTAGCATTGATCCGCTTCATGTAATCGAAAAGGTGATGTTATTTTTGTAATTGCAATTTATTTTTCAAGCCTTACGATTTTTTTGCGTAGATAACCTCAAAGGCGTTTCTGCCATTTTAGATCCCTCCGACTATGCCTGTGCCTGGTCTACGCGATGCTCTTGTCAAAGTCCTTCGAGACTACGCAGCTAAGGTCGCGCTGCAGTGCGGTTGTCAAGAAGCGACTCGTGGAGACGTACGCGAGCTTCTTACGCAGCATTTGCAAACTCAAATCTTGCCGGTTTACTACACTCTAGAATCGCATTGTTCAGTATGTGGGTAAGTCTGCGGAGGATTGCCAGCTTTGATAATCATCTACTATTTTTGCAGAAAGAGGTTGGTGATGTCTGATCCACGGGGTGCTGAGCTGAGGATGTTTGGTTGCGGACATATCGCGCATTTATCCTGCTGTTTAGAGGTTTGTATATTGAGTAGGATGTATCGGGGCGTGGCTGCCGCCACGTTCCCTTTTCCTAGAGTTTAGGGGCTATGGACCCGCAAAAATTTTGAGATACAACCCATAAAATTTTTCGGAGTGCTTGGCTATCGCCACGCACCTTTATTTGAATAAAAATTTTTGCCCCTCCCCCCTTTCCGGACCGAAATCCTGGGACCGCCTTTGCTAAGCGATATAGCGTATGTTACTTCAAATTAGAATTTTCCGAAATCAGTACTAGACGCAGGTTTGAGGTAGTAACTGGTTCAAGGTCCGCACGCATATGAGCCGGCGGCGAGAGGCGAGTCTTTCTTGAGATGGGGAGCGAGCAAACCCCACTGCGACTGCTTTCACTCCGACTTTCGTTGCGTACCAGCGGCGTTCGACTGTCCTCTGAGCGCAACACGCAAACGCCGCTGGTAGGGCAGTCGCACGCCGCTGGTACGCTGTGGAACTCCGCTGACAGGAGAATGGTACGCCGCTGGTACGCCAAGAGGGTACGCCTTCGGACGCAAGTTCACCCGATTTTTGGTTACTGTACTAATTGCAGCATTAGCTGGTTTGGAAATTGCTATATCGACAAATTTTATGAAGCCGAAATTAGCGCAAAAAATGCTACCCTTTCGATCGATGGACTTCATTGAATCGAAGTCGGGGGATTGTGGGCCACCCCTACAACACCCAGCTGAGGTGTTATCAGGTTACTCAATGGGAACAACAACTCAATCTTTTTCCTTTGTCAGGTGCCGAGAAGTGTTAGCTAAACACTAAAATGCTGAGGCGGCTCAACCACTGCGTCGTATCCCATACGGGTACGGCTTACGCTTACAGCGTGGGGTAATGTGATGGGACGCCGCTCGCTTGTTTGGGTTGTGGAACGCCGCTCGCCAAAAGACGGTACGCCGCTGGTAGGGCGCATTAAGGAACGCCGTTGGTACGTTAAGCGCACTCCGCTGGTACGCAAAGCCATTTAGGTACGCCGCTGGTACGCAACGAAAGTCTGAGCAGTGAAGGGGAGCAGCTCCTTTTCTGGGACCTTCATGCATTCCGGCATAAGTACGTAAGTCTACTGCCAGAGGAAGGCGGACAGTCTAGGAGCGCGAACGTGGTTCTATCACACATGGAACGCATATGGCCAGGATCGCAACGATATAGCCAGGGCCCGGCACGAGTCGGTTTCTGGAGTTTCTGAAAACGAAGTCTCCCCTGACTTTCGGAAGTTTTACGAAGTCCCCTTTGACCTATCTGCTTAGGACTGAAAACAAGAAAGATTTACTAGTCTGAAAGAAAAAACTTGAGATAAAAGTGAATCCAAATTGGAGCTATATACTACGCATGCACAAGAGCTTGGCACTGGAGGGCGATATTCAACAAAGCGATTTATGAAGAAATGAAGGCAAACAATGAAGGCAGAATTTGCCATTTTCGGCGGTCAGCTGTGGTAGAGGGTCTGAAAACCTACTCTCAATTAAACGACAACCCCATCTCCAAAGATTGAAAAAGTCGCTCAAAAATGAAGACTAGAAAACGGCTCACGTGGAAATAAATTCGTCAGCACGCATTTCACCTTCAAGCTCTCGCTTTATCGCTCTTTAAAGAAAATAACTTGTGTTTGGTCACTTATATAAATAGCTCATGTGACCTGAAATCACGTAGGTCCCGGTAGCTTGCTAAGGCGGAGATGGAGATTTTCCACACAAGACGAAGATGGCGATTTTGATTATGCGGATACCGCTGGCTCGGTCAGCCATTGTATTAGGTTGTCCGGAAATTAATGCCCGTTTCGAATTTCAACCGCAATAAGTCATGCACCTCTCATTTCCAAATAGGTTGCAAAGTACCATTCGATAGAACAAAGCAAGCTCTACAAGATGGCCTTCTTGCTTTTGCAACAGCTCTCACCCACCTCAAGTTTCGAGCCAAAAACTAAAAAGACTCATCAGCCCGAAAAATCGAAATAAATCGTAACTCAGTTGATAAAAATCCTACAAAAATTCTTACTTGCTCACGTAAACACTATCCACATAAAAGATCCATAAAAGCCTTTGCCGCATTTTTTTCTCTGTTAGAAATCAAGAAAACGGAAATTTTCGTGCATTTGCCAAAGTGGTGCTGTGCCGTTCCCACATAGGTAGTTGTACACCACAAGCCCGTAGAGGTACACACTTAAATTTTCAACTCTCTACAAGCTTTAGTTCTCGAGAAATTTGAATTTTAGCTTGGACCACCTAACTAGGAAAGCTATATTCAATATTTCTCGGGAACTAAAGCTTGTAGACAGCTGAAAATTCAAGTCTGTACCTTTACGGGCTTGTGGTGTACAACTACCTATGTGGGAACGGCACAGCACCACTTTGGCAAATGCACGAAAATTTCCGTTTTCTTGATTTCTAACAGAGAAAAAATGCGGCAAAGGCGTATATAGATGTTTTATGTGAATAGTGTTTACGTGAGCAAGTAAGAATTTTTGTAGGATTTTTATGAACTGAGTTACGATTTATTTGGATTTTTGGGCAGCTGAGTCTTTTTAGTTTTTGGCTCGAAACTCGAAGTGGGTGAGAGCTGTTGCAAAAGCAAGAAGGCCATCTTGTAGAGCTTGCTTTGCTCTATCGAATGGTACTTTGCAACCTATTTAGAAATGAGAAGTGTATGACTTATTACCTTTGAAATTCAAAACAGGCATTAATTTCCGGACAACCTAATATTAGGTTTTCGAAAGCAGTTTCGCCATTTTGAAACGAACTTAAAATCCTGCGGAACGAACATCCTCAAAGGCAGCGTCCAGGCAAATCTGGACTACGGGGATTTTACGTGGAAAGTATTTTTGGGGCCCTAACTAAGGCACTGCCCAAGCGGCAGCGCAGGTAGTGCTCTAACGGCTGAGTATTCCCCTCGAAACTGGGCCCGCGATCGTATTCGCATGGATTCATGGCAGTTTCGCGCCAGGAATCCACGCTTTGCGCCATGAATCCATGCGCAATACGATCGCGGGGTCCAGTTTCGAGGGAATATCTCAGCCGTTAGAGCACTACCTGAGCTGCCGGTTGGGCAGTGGCTTAGTTAGGACCCCAAAATTACTATCCACGTGAGATCCCCATGTGTCCAGACTTGCCTGGACGCTGCCTTCAAGAGATTTTGGGCTCGATGCAACTTTTCATCCTCATTCAAATGATGGTTTTCTTCTTGCCTGACCAACAAGCTCTCAGAAAAGGACTGAAGCCTACGACTTATGGCTTTGTCATTGTCAACTTTCGCTAATTTTCTATTTTTATACCCCTTGAAGAAGTTCATGTTTACTGATCAAAAAGCTAACCTTGCACGAACAAAACAATTTTTTCTCTCTATAGCTTGCTTTTCAAAAATTTCGAAATTACTTTTCTATACTATGAAACTTCATATTTGGTCAGCTCAATGCTCAGAGAAGATCAACCGGCAAGCAGCCCGGGAGTCTTTCGATGCAGCTTTCTCTCCCCTTTCTAACAATCTTTTGTTCCCAATTCGTGAAGTGATTGAAGATAAAATAAGCATAATTTATGCTTTGAGCGTGCCTCATGTGGTGACCGGGAAATACGAAACTTCATATTTCGGACCTGTGAATTCTGACTCGCTTTATAAAATGAGTGATGATTCATAATCTATTCTTGGAAGTTGTAAATTTTAAAGATTTATTGGTGTTTGATGGGTTTGTATCTGTGAGAGGCCTCCTAAGAAGCGATGGTTATATTGAAAAACCTATCGAAAATAATGACGAGCTATGGAAGATAGAAAGAAATTATTTTGTACCCTGTAGAATTTGCTCTATCCATAGGTTGCTTAGACTGTTTAGGGGGGGGGGGGGGGGGAGGAGGTTGACATAAAAATTTTGAAATGTTGCGGAATTTAACCATGGGAAAAACTATGGGTGGCAGTTTTTGGACATTTTTTGAGAGCTCTTTGATTCAATTAGAATGGGGGAACATTAATTGAAAGAGGATGAAAGCATCGAATGCTCCCAAAAACTATTAAGGTTGTTGGTTCTGCTGAATATTATACTCGTTCGAAAAAAAGCGAAATTGCTTTCGTAACGCTTAATATGGTAAGCTATTTTAACCTAATTAATCGCGCTGTGCTTTGGACGGAAAGCATAAACGGTTGTAGCGAGGAACTCTGGGGATTACCTTCGTTTGAGAATCTTCTCGGCAGTTTTCTGACACTCCCAACATGTGGCTTGAAGTGACACTGAAGAGCTATAGCTTTGGATTTCAGGCAGAAAGGAAATCTGTTCTGGAGCCAGGAACATGTTTCGCATGTAGTGATGCAGTTGGAGACGAAATCGTTTCATGATCCCAATCTTGCCTCACTAATCAGTCACACTGTATTTGCCAACAATGGGTACAGCTTTTTAACTTGTGTAATTTTTACATGTGCAGGCACTTATTATCTTTGTACATAATGTATATCTATGTGACTGCCAATACTTCTATGTGGAACAAAGATTTCTATCATCAGACCTTGCAGTGTTTGCGAGTTTTCCTTCTATGAAATAAGTCATAAATTCACTAAATTGTTTATTATGACTATGTATTGCTCAAAGATAGTGTTTGAATAGTGAAAGAATTGTTGCCTTGCGAGTATTGAGGTTCTCCAGTTGTAAGCATGACTCGTGATTTCCACCAATCTGAAAAAACCTTTGTTTGCTGATTGCCTGTGTGTGCAGTCTAGTATTGATGGTCAGTATAGTGCGTGAATTTGAGCTAAATACAAGCTCATAGATGTCGAAAAGTGCTTGTGAATTGCATGCAAAAATGGGCGTAGAGTGCATACTGCTATTGACGCTCAAACATTAGTGGTATTGGAAAAATACACGATCAGGTCAAATCTACTCAGCCGTAGTGTACTTGGACATTACATGTTTGTAGCTATGTATAAAAAGGCTCTTATGATCGAATGCCACCAACTTGGTCCGAGAATTCGTTTCGGCGAAGGGGTGCGCGACAGAAGCTTTATTTTTGAATAAGGGCCGTTAGCTATTAGCTATCCACGCCCTTCCTGAACTTTTTTGAAATGCTTGACAAAATTGTCGCGGAAATGCAACCCCAAACAAAAAGTGGGCATCGCAGCTGCTGGAACTTTTTTTTTGCAAAGCTAATTTGAATTCTTAAGATTTTAAAAATTCATGTTATCTACAGAAAGTAAGAGCAGAAGTACTTGTAGTCATCCTATTATGGAAAAAAGGAAATGAGCTTGAATATCTACCAGCCAGACGTCAATGGGAAGCTCAGAGTATCGATCCAATCCATTCCCAGTGATGGAGCGGGACATTTTCGGGGTGAGATCAGATCTGAATTGACGTCTTATAATTTATGTTGCCGGCGAATAGAAGGTTATTTACCGGATGATTTTGTGAAACACTTTGTTGGCAACTTCTGTACTTTTGAATAGGTATATCTTGGTCTCTGAGGAGCAAAGTTTGTGTTTCTTCAGCATTCTTGCCAATCGGGATGCGCATTCGACGCGTTGGGTCTTATCAGGGAGGGAGGAGAAGATTTTCTAGAAAGGGAAAATCAGTTGGTGAAGTGTCTTGAGAAAGAAAATACGAACATCAGCAAAAGCTTCTACTCTCTCAATATTCAGTGTTTCTGGTTCTATATACCACGTGTCGAACATCACTACAAATGGCACCTGAAATTCCTTTTAAGTACACACTGCTAAGCGCTTTCACAATGGTGAAACTACGGTAGTAGTGAATCAAATGTCCAACCTCCTTGCCCCAGAGTCTCATCTCTTCGACCATCTCACGGCTTATTATCCCTCCCAAGGAATGGCCCATGAGGAACGCCGGAGTTTCTTTTGTATGAGCGCAGACCTGCAAATACAAATCCTTTACAGATTGTTGACCAGTATATCTCTTCAAACACAGTATCACTACTGGGACACTACGCAGACGAAGTCGCACGATCTGGGAATTGTGTCTGCGTGCGCATGAATAATGCCAAAGCTTGTCAACATTATTTATAAGGTACCTAATGGCGTTGAGAGTTATCGATTTCCTCCTGCAGCTGAACCTCCTCGCGGTCAGTTCATGACCTAAGCTTCGAAGCACAAGAGATAAAAATTTATTAAGGCACTTGTGTAATCTATAGTTAATAAGATTTAGCTGGACACTGTGAGTCCAAGCAATGGAAGGCCATTTGAGCAATGTTCTTAGCGACATGAGCTGGTCCCCTTGCATTAGCTAGCAGATGGGACACAACATTTCTACAGGGTAGTTCGCTTTGTCAGTTTAAAAGGACCATCACCAGATTTGAGCGTGGTGTCAGGCGTGCCCGACTTGGGGGGTCGCATTGGGGAGCAGACAGGATGAGAAGGGTCGTAATTAAGAAGCGGATTTTTTGGAATAAGACAATACTACGCTTTAACAAGGTGTAGAGCATATGCACCAAGTCAATAAAAGTAATACCGTCCTCAAAATAACCTCGCAGTTATTGCAAAGATTGAACATGGTTGTGAACAGCATATCCAATTACTCTAGACTGTTGTTTCAGTCATCCTACCGTAAGCTACCAGAAAGGGCCTCCATGGAAAATGGGTGTGATTTCCGTAATCAGAACGTCAATTACCATCTATTAGCTTTAGGAACTACTAGGTACTACTTTCAGTCTTCCCAGCTTTTAAAAAGCGTTATACTTAAGCACAATTACTAGTTTCAAACAGGAAAAAAGTCACCTTTTTATGCCTGTAACAAAGCAATCCTTACTACCTAAAATATTCTAGGAATATCATTGCATATTGTTCCCGATTAGTGGTTTAGAGTTTCCTAAACTTCAAGTATCCGTTGGTTCACTGAGTGCTTCAGCACCATGGACTACCAATCAAAGCAAGTCGAGATAAGTTACACATACCTCAGATTACACATCACACACACGTAATGTTTGTTGATCTAACAAGGAAAGGATGTCCGGTCGAAGTGGCGTTTTCATAGGAAATGTACACTGTATTATAGAGCATAAAACGCTCATTTTCATTACCTGCAAAGCGCTTCTAGAAGGGGAGTTATTGGAATTTTTTGACTCAAAATCAACGCACAGCTATAATAAAACCGTTCATAACTGTAGTCTATGAGCTCGAATGGGGCCATGATTATCGCCAGGGCGCTTCGTGCACTTAATACCTTTAGTCTGATAAATTCAAGCCATCACTCCACTAAAGCGCCGGAAAGACCTCCCTCAACACTTGTTTTCACTTTAGCCAAAGCCTTGAATTTTTGTCTCAAAAATTCTCACAACTCTCATCCCAGAAGCGCTTTGCAGATAGTGAAAGCAGATTTGGAATCAGCGTTCCATGCTCTATAAGACAGTATACATCTCATATGGAAACCGCACTTCGACCAAGTATCCTTCCCTTGTAAGAGATATGTGCTCGGGAGACATAAAACTCGAGCGAAAAGGCTCATTCGGAGATAAAGTTGGTGAGGTCAGGCACTACCCCTCAGAAGGTGCTGACTGAGTTCTGATAACGGTGTGTGCCTGACTCTCTTAACCTACCTTCAAAATTCGCAGACCTTTTTGTTATAAGTAGCAGATTAAACCTGTACTTGTTTCAATAGTATTGCCAAATCCTCCTTTCCCGGAGAAGTTATGGCTCTTGCAAAAACTCATACTCAGACAAAAGGCACCATCGATTATGCTGTCTTCACTCTGCTGATCGTGTGCAATCGCAGAAAAAACAGGGGCACAGACTTCTAAAAACCGTCGGCCTACAGGTTTGTTTCTCTCGATGCAAAGTATGAAAGAAGGTGGGAACATAGGTGCGATAGGGGGAGCATGGCCCTATCCAGGCGAAGGGAGTCTCTGCTACCCCCGTCCTTGTAGGGTGAAGGGGTAAGTGAGCCCCGAAAGCGAAATTCCCTAGAAACTACATACCATTCGCAAGCTGAGGTCATGCAGAATCGAAAAACATCGTCAGTTTTTTGTTCAAGATATTTTGAGCCGAGAAATTTGAGCGATTTTATCTGGCCAATATAGCAAGTGATTTGGTGTGCTCTCTTTCTGCTCTCTTATCGCAATGAAGATGAAAGCTACGGAGAAGTCGACGGCCTACGTTTATTGAAGAAGAATTGTTTTGTAACACAGATAGATAATCGGGTAGCTAGGTCTTCGTTGAGCAGAAATCCGCTTTTAAAAATGGATATAATTTTAGATAAAATGCGGCGTATCTCTCAGTAGAGTGTTGTTAGAAAAAAGCCGACGGTCTTTGTCGAATCCCTGTTTCCCAAGCTTTCGAATGGTGTATAGATTGTGGGACGAAAAAACTTGGCAGTTCCTAGAAATGAGGTGAAGGTATTTACTATTAGTTTGCTCTATCCCGCTCCTCCAATGTATTGGCTTTTATGAAACATCGGAGCAAGCATTTCTTTGAAGCCAGGGAGCTCAATGCCCCAACAAGCTGTATACCATTCGAAAGCTGAGATTATATCGACGTAGGCCCTTGGATTTTTTCTAGCTCTTCTTAGCAGGAAGGTGTGAGAGATTTATCTGACCGTTACATCTACTGATTCGCTTTAGCTGACCAAAAAATGCTTTCAATTCTCTTTCATATCATAGAAATAGGTAATCTTACTAACGTAACATCTATTATTCGATGTAATCAATGCATATCACACTGAGCTGTTTTTGCAGTCTTTAGCAAGACTTTTTGGTTTTTACGAGCATCGACAACCTGGATATAGACTTACCATAAACACAGACTTACTTATTAGTTTTTTTCTTGCTTCTCTTACAAACAAAGGTGTCTATCTGTTTATCTATCTCAGTATTATGACAAGCATTAGAAAACCTCAAGGCTTGAAATCAAATATGTTTGAAAGATTTTTCCAAAAAAAAACGTGGAAGAAAGAGGCCGCAAACAAGCATCAACCACTGAGGTTCTTGAGAGAAAAAACTCAAATGTTTTTCGATTCTTGTATTCGTTTTTGGAGTGTTTATATTTCGAAGTTACTTTATTTTCCCAATTTAGTTGTTTTTATGCTACAGTATCCATTGTAGACACCTTTGAAATAGTGCGAAAAAAGCAATTACGTAATGATTATCATTGTAATTGATAAAAATACTTCTTTTCACGGAAAATGTGGTTGTTGTGTTCCACGACTGAGGTGAATCTCCAATAGCTTCTTGATCATGATTCGCTCTCAAATTACCTTCTCAAATCAGCCTCAGATGAAGGGAGTCATCCGGGTTCCGGCTCAAGCGTGAGGGGGTAAGACCCATTGCTCCCCCTATCGCAACTATGGGTGGGAATGAGGGAAAGAGGGTCGTTCAGGTGGGGTTGCAAGGGGGGGGGGTGGGGACAATTCTATAAGATATGCGCCTGATCTCTTGCTCAATGACCATAACCACGAATGCCATTGAAATAAACTTGCTTATTGTGTTTTGTCGCAACTTACCGCTTTTGCATAAAATGCGGCAAGCTCCTTCAGAGATGTTGCCTTGAAGTGCAGTTTGTATTCTATAGCATAAATGTTGATTTCCTTAGGCAGTAGTTGAAGGAAAGCATGATAAGGGAATATAGAACCTCCTATTGCATGCAAGAAGTAAACATTTAGTTTACCCTGAGCAGTTTTGCGAAGTGTAATGATGATTGAGGCGCTTTCACAGGTTGTAACTTGCTTTTTACTTGCTATGAGGTCAGCCAGTTCAGATATGGTCGAATTGGCAAATAGTTCGTGTACTTTGATTGTTACTCCAAAAGTGTCCAGAATCTGCTTTCTCAGTTCGAACAGCAACAAGGAGTGTCCGCCCAGAGAGAAGAAGCTTTCACTGACATTCACTTCTCTAACATTCAGAAGAGAGCGGATTATGGCTATTAACCTGTCTTCGACTGATGAGGTCACTTCTGCCGAAAATGAGGATTCTTCGGAGTCTATGTTCCGAATTCTAGACAGTTCTTTGAGTAGGGTGTCCTTGTCCACTTTCCCGGAGGAGTTCAGCGGTATGCCTGATATGCGTATGAAACGCGTCGGGATCATAAAAGAAGGCAAAAGCGAGCTCAGCTTTTTCGTCAAACATTTGCCGTGAACTGGTTCACCGGATACTATGAAAGCAACGACATTCTTCTCGTAAGGAAGAACGCAGACATCCGATATATCAGGCGATGAGCTGAGGATGGCTCTTTTCACCTCCTCTAATTCAATTCTATGTCCTCTAATTTTGATTTGATCGTCGGTTCGTCCTCTGAACAAGAATCCTTCCCTCTCATGTCTCACTATATCTCCCGTAGAATACGTCTTCATACCATTTCCAAAAGAGAATGGTGCACTTTCATTGCCGTTGATGTACCCACGCGCTACTTTTGGACCTTTCAAGATAAGCTCTCCTTCATACGCATTGCCTTTTGTTGAGCAGATTTCGTTCGGCATCGACGTGCCTATGAGGGCAGCCTCGTTTTCGAGAATCTTACATCTGTTTGTGAGGGACCACACAGTGCCTTCTGTAGGTCCATAGATTTGGGTTACGTCTATACCCAGTTTTAGAGCATCGCCGAGAACCGTGTCATTCACTGACTCGCCACCTATGAAAAGCTTTTCTAACGATGTCAGCTTTCGCAGGTCGTCGATGGTCAATGCGTTGAAAGTGGCAGAAGTAAGAAATGCAAAATCGCACTGCAATTTCCTCATCTCAAATGGTGCATAACGAACGCTGTCATGTATGCAGAGCTCACAGGCGTTTACGAAAGATCCAATAATGTTCATGACACTAACGTCGAAGACGATATTCACTGAATTGGAAACACGGTGGCCTGGTCTCATCAATGTTTGCCCATTCGCTCCGCGCAGGAATGCGCTCAAATTTCGGTGGCTGAGAACAACTCCTTTTGGAACGCCAGTAGATCCGCTTGTGTGCATGATGTATGCAATATCGTAGGTCGATATCCGATTAAATTTGAGTCGCCTTTTTTGTGAGCTATACTGCAAGGCATAAGATAGAGCGTCCTCCTGAATGTTGAGAATCACTGGCATTTTTTCCAATATCTGTGCTTTTCGTACTGCTGGCCAGAGAGGATCTATGGGCGCATAAGCAGCCCCGACCTTGAATACTGCCAGGATCATTTCCGGGGCATGCTCAGAGCTCAACTCTAGTCCTATGACGTCGTCGCATCGCACGGAGCAACCTAACAACTTAGTACAAGAATCATTCAACCTTTCAGCAATCGCAGATGTTATCTTATCTGTTTCCGCATAAGATCGCATCAAATTGGTCCTTCTGAGTATGGAGGTAAACTCACTTCCTCGCAAAAGAGCATCACCATGTGACATTATGCAGGTTGGATAATCGACTTCATTTCGTGACTCTGTTTCCTCAAATCTCCTTGCGATCAAGTGTCTCAGCATAGTGCGCATGACCAGACGAATGGTTTCGATTCGATACCTCGACGAGTCATACTCCATCGTGATACTCGTCCCGCTGGAGGTGTTATCAATGGTTACGGAGAGATTGAAGATTTTGTTCATAGAAAGTTGATTGATTTCGACCTTTGTTTCAGGAATGTTGATCTGAGGAAACTCGAGCCCGTATCGATAGTTGAAAAAGATTTGGAACAAAGGATGCTCGTTTAACTGTCGCTTGGGATTCATTCTCGCAACCAACTTATGAAAGGGAACTTTTTCGAATTTTCGCAGAGCTGCTGTTGTTTGCTTCATCGATGAAATAACGTCTTCTAAACTTTCACTAAGCCGTACATCTGTTGAAACGACTACGTTATTAAGAAAATATCCCATTAGGTCTTTCACCTTCTCATCACGGTTCAAAATGGGGCTGCCTATGACGATTGTGTCATCTTGACTACTAGCTTTTAGCTTTCGCAGTGTGAGGAGAAAAGCTGACAGTGCTACGACAAACTCGGTGGTGTGGAATTCTTTGGCCAGTTGTGTAAGGCTGCCAGTCAATTTGAGAGGAAGAATCTGGACCAACTTCTTGAAGTGACGAGAACCGCTATTAAGGGGCTTCTGAGGTAGCGTTGTCGCTTCCCTTCCCAATAAAAGAGTTTGCAGTTCTTCAAGTTCTTCCGAGAAAGTCACATGTTCTTGCTGCCAGCGTGCAAACTCACTTATTGAGTACGGAATTGGTTGCACTCGTTCCTGCGCTGCGTTCGAGTACATTTCGTAGATCTTGTTCAGCTCTTGCGCTAACACTGTCACGGACCAACCGTCAGTGACGATGTGGTGCTGATTGAAGAAAATGACATAGTCATTGGCGATCTTATTGAACCGCATCCTAACTGGCACATTTTCCAAATTGAACTCGTAGTTTTGCTCTTCTTCAATGATTTGATCCCGTTCCTGACGTTGAATCTCTTTGCATGCAAGGTTCTGGTAACTTTCGGTTAGGGACAACACGATTTGGCGAGCGTTCACCGAATCCCGCAAACAAAAACATGTGCGGAGGGAGTGTTGACGAGCTATGAGGGTTTGAATTGTGTGAGTGAGCGTTTGCACCGAAAATGTTTTAGATTTGTTCTCGAAGGAGATGGAAAAGAATATGTTGTAGTGTGCACCAGTCTCGAGGTGTCGTAAGAGAAACATATTCTCTTGTGGGTAACTCAACGGTGCTGGTACTGTTACGTCGAAAGATGCAACCTTGCTCGGTTTAGTGGATGTGTGAGATAGCGCTGCCAGGAAATCTTTGAACAATGGATGTTTGAAAAGCGTAGCTGTAGATGTGTCTATCCTCAGCCTCGTACTGAGAGACCAGACAACCCTAAGCGCACTTAATGAGTTTCCACCGTTGTTGAAGAAATCCAATTCATCGTGCACCGCTACACCCAACACTTCTTTCCAAATGTCAGCAACTTTATCCTTGAATGAACCTTTCGCCTCACTAACATTGTCGGCAACATTCAGTCGCTCTCCAGCAACTTGGGCCTTCTCTAGCATCTTTCTGATTTCGAACGGTGACAGTGGCGAATATGCTACCACACCTGTAAGCCCGAGAGTTTCCCTCACTGCTCGTCTAGCTGTCTGAGATGAAATTGAAGTTCTCATTAGCAAGGAGTGAAGTTCATTGTGTTCAAATGTCGCAGCCATGCCCGCGCTGCTCCAAGCTGGCCACTGTATCGAAATAATCTTGTTCACCCTAGGATGTCCGTTCAGCGCCAGTGCATCCATGAAGATGTTAGCTGCAGCGTAGTCTTCATTCCCTTGCAATGCAACTACGCTGCTCAGTGATGATGTCATGATTAGACTACCCAGTTGGATCCTCCTGGAGTTGAGGTAGTTCAGTACATTCGTGACTCCACTCAATTTTGGAAGCAGAACCTTGAGCATGCTCGGAATGTCCTTCTGCAGTGATCTTGATGTTGCTTCGCCAGCTGCGTGAATTATAGTGTCGACGCTCCCGTGCCTCATGTAAATCTCGTCCAATGTTTTTGTCATGGACTCCTCGTCTTTGATATCCAAAGTAAAAGCGGAAACACCTGGCCCACACAAAGCTCTCTTTGTCTTACGGCTGAGTATCAATATGTTATCAACTCCTGCTCTTTTCTTGAGCATTTCGACATAGGTAGAACCTATCGCTCCCGTACCTCCAATGACTACTACCGTCTTCCCCAAGTGAACGTCTGATCCACTAGCAGTTTCCTCCGCGTATATCATGCTCAAAAGGGAATTCCTCATAGCAAGCAGCACTTCCTCATCTACATTCAATACGGAATGAATGAGTTTGGGAAGAGGGACCCTCTCTGAATTGTCTATAAATATGTTTTTTCTCCTCCTACCCAGATGAAATTCTCGGATGGGCCCTAGTGTTGGCCAATGAACAGCGTCGCCTGTCAACGAAATGACGATAAAGCGCGTTTCTTCTGCAGCTATTGCTGAGCAGATTCTGCGGGATAAGAAAAAGGGTTCCGTTATGTCGTCGGGGTTCTTCTCTAGAAGATATATGATGATGGAATACTTTTCAAGAATTTCTGCTCCTCCGCTGAGAACATCAGCGGGTTTTTTGATTTGCATCTCGCAAAGCCCACATTCGAACTTCAAGTAGTCGCTATATTCATCGGTTATTAAAAGAGTGTCTCCGTTGTGGAAGTGCATATTTTCTTCAGCCAGCCTGGTCCTGGGTCTCCAACCAACGGTAAAGTATTTCATTCTGTTGCTTTCCAACGTCTCCCTCCAACAACTTGTTCTTTCAAATGAATAATTTGGCAAGTGAGGATCAAAAGAGGTGCACGGAAAATGCGCTTTGAAATCGATGTTAAGTCCAGAAGCCCACAAGTCAGCAAGAGATTGAAAGAGCTGAGAGTGTATCTTGGAGCTCTTTGAACGCCCTTTGATAGTACTGATTACGCGAACCTCAAGATTCCTTTCGTCTACGAGATGCTTGAGAATACCAGATGGACCAATCTCTATGATCACACGAATGTTCTTGTTTGCTAGTGCTGTATCCAAACATCTCTTGAGATTCACTGGTTGAATCAAGTGATCGCAACAGTAGTCAGTGGTAAGATCCGTGATTATTCTCCCGTCAACATTTGACACAATATTCTTCTGCCCCGGCTGAAAGTGTACACTTTCAAGAAGTTTCTTAAACTCTTTCCTTATCACAGTCATCATCGATGTGTGGAAACCATGGCTCGTGGTCAGTTCTTTATAAGACACTTTTTCTTCTTCAAGTTGTTTGATAAAGTCTTCAATAGACTCAGGACTTCCAACAACGCATTTCATATAGTCTGAAAGAACCGCAGATACCTCAACATCGTCAGGCAGTCGAACATCCTTTCCAGTTATCGCCAACATCCGAGCAGCTTTGGTTTTGCATACTAGTTCGGCTCTCTTTTGCAGAAGACGGATGCTAGTATGCTCATCCAGTATACCAGCATAGCTAGCTGCAGTATACTCGCCTACGCTATGACCCAAAAGCAAATTTGACGATATTCCCCACTGTTGCAATTGCGCCAGTATCGCTCTGCTTATCACAAATATAGCTACTTGCGCATATTTAGCGTCATATATCCTTTTGTCACACGGATCATCCGGATATAGCAGAGCCATGAAGTCTTCCCGGAAAAGTTCGGATGCAAACGAAGTAAGGCGCAAAAGTTCGTGTGTGAATACCTCGGCATGTTCCAGCGAGGCTTTCTCCATGCTTGGGTATTGTACGCCTTGTGGAGCGAAAAAGAAGCAAATGTTAGAATTATCCAAAAATGACGATAGCACTGGCGATGAAAAACTTTCAAGCTGCGAAATGGCATCATCTACTGAGGAAACTGCAAAACCAGCTTTGTAAGCAAAATGCTCTCTCTTGCACTGTAAAGTAGCTGCAATGCTCTTTAAATCCGTTTTAGGAGTGCTCTTGAGATAGGTGGCGATTGCTCGGCACTGAGCAATGCATGAGTTTGCTGTCGTACCTGATATCGGGAGGATATGGACCCCACCGGAGTCCGTTCGCTTGGTGGTACGCAATGGCGGCTGATCCAGAATGAGATGCACGTTTGTACCGCCTATACCGAACGAACTCACTGCAGCCATTGAGTTGGCCTTCAAACTGGATAGCTTCGTATTTATTGTGTAAGGAATATCCTTACGCAAGTGTCTCAGATTGATTTGAGGAGGAACCTTCCGCTCCTGGAGAATTTTCATTATCTTGAATAGTCCAGCCATGCCACTGCCAGCGAATCCATGCCCGATATTAGCTTTTACCGAACCAAGGATCAGGTCAGAGTTGTCTCCGTACACTTGCTTGACGGCATCAAGCTCAATCTCGTCACCTACGCGAGTGCCGGTCCCATGACATTCAATATAGCCAATTCTATTAGCGTCGTGTGGAGATAATGTGGAGAGCGCATCGCGCATGCATTCGAGCTGTCCTGTGCAATTTGGAGCCATGAAACTGGCCTTATGTAAACCATCATTGCTCATGCCATAGCTTCTTACTACAGCGGCGATATGATCTCCATCTCTCAGGGCTTGATCCAACCTCTTGAGCACTACACATCCAACAGAGGAGCCTCTGACCGTGCCATCAGCCTCTTGGTCAAAAGGCGTACATGTTCCGCTTGGGGATAGCACCAAACCTTCTTGGATTAGGTAGCGCGTTTGGCTGGGAAACACCAGAGAAATGCCTCCAGCGATCGCTAAGTCTACATCTCCGAGTCGCAGGGAGTTGCAAGCTTGAGCTATGGCAAGAAGTGCTGTTGAGCAGGCGGAATACACACCGACCGCGGGACCGCGAAGATTCAGCATGTGTGCGGTGAAAGTGGAAACAAAGTCCTTCATGTTCATGGCAAACAACCGGCGCAAACTACCTTCTGCCTCCTGGCTTGGATCACCATAATCTGTGGGTTCGGCTCCAGCAAATACCCCAATTTTGAGTTCGTTCCGCTGTCGTACATATCCTGACATCTCCAGTGCATGATAAGCAGTTTGTAGAAAGACACGCAGCTGCGGATCCAATATCGACGCATCATCTCGTGTCATATTCCAAAACTTATGGTCAAACTGATCTATGTCAGGAATTACGCCAGCAGCATCGACAATGCTCTCTTCGTCGGACTCGGTTCTGCGGATACATTCCTCTCCAGCCAGAATTTTATTCCAAAACTCGTCGATGTCTGCGCAACCCGAAAAAGCACCGCTATAACCTATTATCGCAATATCACCGCTACGGTGAAGTGCTTGTGAGTTGGAGGTTCGATCAGGTCGAGGAACACTGACGTTACTCTTGTTTGCAAGTAGTTTAGATAGCCTGTCCAACGTACAGTTATCGTAAATTTCCCTCGAGGTAAAAGTGCAACCAAGCCTTTCGTTAATTTTACTCCTAATTTCTTCGATCATGAGTGAGTCAATTCCAAGATTCATCAATGGTGTATGGCGTTGCGTCGAAATCTCCTCAATTCCACTGACTTCTGTAATTATATCTTCTATACTATTCTGGTTGAACACTTCGATTGGTTGAGAAACTTCAGCAGTAATTGCTGCTTTTTTCTCGGGAAGTACTTTATCCACACATGTGAGTTTGCTGAGAAACTTTTGCAGGTGGCTTTGTGTTTCAACAATCTTCGAGATGTCTCCATCGAATACAAGCACATTTTGTGCATCTGTGCATAAAACATCAAGTGCTTGACTGCTTTCTAGAAGATTCCATCCCCTAGCATGCATTTGCTCGCAGATTTTCTCGCTTTGAGGGTTCCGGAGCAATCCGGTATTCTTCCAAGGTCCCCAGTGAATAATTTGTGTTGGTACATTATGCTTTTCCGCTAAGGATGACATGAGTCCGTTTGCGAAGGCATAATTGGCCTGTCCAACAGAGCCAAGAATACAAGCAACTGAGGATGCCAGAATCAACTTCGTCGGTTTTCTTCTCTTTAATTCTTTGTACAAAGTACCCAATCCTGTGACCTTGGGTAAACATACACTTTTCATTTTTGTGCGGTCCATAGCCGACATGAGCCCGTTGTCTACGATACCGGCACAGTGGACCACTATGTCGTATATCTCATTAGCAGGAAGGTCTAACGAATTCAGGCTAGACTTAACCAGTGTTGCCTCTTTATATTCTTCCATAAAAGTGTTGTCTTTTCTTGCCACAATAGTCAATTTTGCTGGTTTCATGAAGTCAATCAGTTTTCTGCCAACCCCTCCTGTTCCTCCTGTGATCAGTAGATGCCGTGGCGATGGAGGAGGAATCTTCTTCGGTTCAGCTGGAATTAGTCGCTCGACGTACCTCTCCAGCCCTCGATAGAATATGCTTTCAAAAATGTCGTTGTTCGAAAGCTCTGCTTCGAGCTGCGCAAGAAGCGTGTATGACACGAATTTGTAGGGATGTTCACGTTCGCTGGCTAATGAACGAAGAAGAGCTGTCCATTCTGTGTAAGAAGTGGTGTTATTGCGGCATGCTACGATGAGAATGAATGCTCGCCGATGTTCGAGTGCCTGCCATAATTTCATCACTTTTAGGGCTTCGTTGACTGTCGAAGAGTACGAGTGATAAAGAACAATGCGTGTTTGAGTTGATTCAAAAGACGTGACAGCAGGCAAAGGCATATATGACACATTTGCTATGCGCACTTTTCGACCCAGGACCATAACTGGGATACTCCTGTCACGCTTGCCTTTAGGCACTGCAAGAAAAGACTTTTCGTAAAGAATATCCTTGACTTGGTGATGAGAAGTTGTGAAATTACTGGCAAACAGATCATCAAACGGCCAGTACGCTTCTTGTTTGAAGGAATAAGTGGGGAGTTTGACACTGTCATTTGTTGGGGCGATATTGTACAGCGACCATTGAATGGAATGGCCCTCCACAAACTTGCATCCTATGAATTGGTGGAATTGTGGACCCGTCATTGAAGACACCGTGTTGGATGGTTTGGATGCTACTCTGTTCAATAAGCTGCCACAGAAAGCCACTAGGTTTGAATGAAAATGAGATTCATGTACGAGATAACCTCTTCCGTATTCAAAAGCTATGTAATCGCGCTCATTCTTACCAATTTCTAGAAAGGAGACATTGCAGCTCTGTCCGTGCTCCCAAACTATTCGCCTTTTGTTATCGTAAAGTAGGCAATGACGATAACGATGATGAGGTTTGTTTTGTTGCAATGATTCACAAACATCGCCAATGTCGTTGCTGGTAGACAGCACATATGCCTTAACTTCGTCTACCATCTTCAGTAAGGTTTGTTCATCTTTGGCAGAGATTGGCGCTAGATGATACTTGCATACACCAATGGAAGTGATATGTCGAGCCGGTTCCTTCTGAAGTAGAACAGAACAGTTCGTACCGCTGAATCCAAAGTTGTTTATCGCAAGAAGTTGGACCGAGCGATCTTCACCGACAACGTTCACCTGCAGACGGTGACAGTCAATTCGAGGGTTCGGGCATTTGAAGTGTGCTTGATTGAGCCTATAGCTGTGTTCCATCTGTAGCATACAGGAGATTAAAGAAGCCATGCCAGAGGCAGCTTCTGCATGTCCGATTTGACTCTTCACGCTAGACACCGTTACATGTCCGTGTACATTGGAGACGGCTTGCGCCTCGATTGGATCACCCAAAGACGTGCCGGTTCCATGGCATTCCACATCGAGCAGGTCTTTTCTGCAAACGGCTTTCATCACGCGCTCCTGAGAAGTGCCGTTTGGTGCTTGAAGTGAAGCGGCTTGTCCATTATGTCCTATGGCCCAAGATGGGATTTGAAATCGTGCGCCTCTACCGTGGCTCGACAGCAGGACGCAGCCAGCCACTTCCGATCTGATGTATCCGTCAGCTTCCGCATCGAACACATGGCACACTCCCTTCGTCGACAACATGCCAGCGTTCTTCAACACTTCCGTGACAGTATCGTGAAGGATTACATTTATGCCACCTACAATGGCGTAATCACATCTGTTTTGAATCAGAGAATCTATGGCACAGGTTAGAGCTGTAAAAGTGGAGGAACAGGCTGTGTCGACAACAAGAACTGGCCCTTCCAACTTCAGCCAGTGAGCAATCCTGCCCGCAATACAGCTTCCATTAGTTCCGCTACTGTAGTATCCACTAGCGTTTTCTTTCATCTCGCTGTAGGCGCGATTTGTGAAATCATTCCCGCTAACACCGATGAATACCCCTGTTTTCTTTGTTATCATCAATGGTTTGGCATCTTCCAAACACCGTGAGACAGACTGCAGCATGAGACGTTGTTGAACATCGATATAGGGTGCTTCCTTCGGGGTAATTCCGAAAAAGACTGGGTCCCACTTTACGATACTGGACTTGGCAGAACTGCTTTGTGCTGTTCTTTGTCCTAATATTCCTACTTTCAAGTCCTGCCAAATCTGTGTTTTTCCTGATGATGAATATAGGAAATCGCCGTCGAAACTTAGAATATAAACAGGTCTGGTTTGTTTTGTCGGCTCGTCGTTTTCAGAACAAGACTTTATTATCTTTGTGTGTTCCTTTCTGCTCACATCTTCTGCATTGACGACCTCTTCAAGTGTGCGTCTCTTCTTGATCAAGCTGAACTTATTCTTGTACTGAAAAACTAATTTATCACCTGCGTAAATGCATGCGTGCGCGTTGATGTGCTTTTCATTTTCTGCCACCTTTTCGGTGATGGCAATTACTGCTTCTGATGGTGATATATGAAAATCAGCGCATAGATAAATCTCTCCAACATGGACTGGAAGGAAGTACACATCGGGACGGTGATCCATGACATTTACACAAACTGCATGCATTGCAGCATCCATCAGAACCCACAGCGTTTCTGGATTTTTATAGTCCAATAAAGAGTACGTTTGAGTTTTACTTCGTTTCAGTACTTTGATTGCTTGAAATTGTCCTCGATAGTCAAGTCCATTGACTGCCATCCTGGTATAGAAATCCTCTACATTGCAATCCAAAGTGCAGTTCATTTCGACATTTTCTCTTTCAAGACAGGGTTTGGGAGGATTTTTGTGGAAACGGATTTGGCTGGTGGACCTTGTTATTCCTTTTACCACAATGTGTACGGTGACGCTGTTGGTTTGAATGAGTTCGTAGTCATGTCCGTCCTCATATCTCCATGCATTTGTAAATTTGATATTTACCAATGTGAAATAGCCATCGGACCGAGAAGCTCCATTGAGCCACTTTAGCAGAATGTAAAACTGATAGGCTCCAGGTATAAGATTCTCGTCGTCGACATAGTGATTCTTTAGAACATGGAGATCATCTTCTGTGAATGACGCCGCTACTCTCAAAGGAAATTCGACAAGTTTTTCGCGTGCGAAACTATTCGCGTTGCTACAATAGATGGCAGGCCAATTTATCGCAACCCCTCTTTTCTCCAACTCGAGGGCCGCTCGAACAAAGCACTCAGAGACGTTTCTTCTCTCCACAGCTGTAGACAGAAGTGCATGTTTCTTCCTCTCAGTGATTTTGAGTGTTTCCCGTACGAAGGGAATAATTGTGTTACTTGTGCCCGCTTCCACCCATGTTGTTACATTGAGAAACTCAAGCGTACGGATGCAGTCGACCATATTTACCGGATACAGTATGTGTTCAATCAGATACTCAGGCGAGAATGTTGAGATCAACCGTCCGGAAACATTACTGACAATAGGAATATGACCTTTTCTGAAGTTAACTGTTTTCAGTGCTTCTTTGAAATCATATAGATCTTGATCTTGGATGAGAGTGCTATGAAAAGGATATCGAGCATTGATGACTGTGCACTGCATGTTCTTGGACAACATAAAATCATGAACAGCTTCGAGTTCGTCATACTTTCCAGCAATGACCATTTGCTTTGGACTGTTCATAGCCGCTATTGATACCTCAAATTTTGAAAGAAGTTCTGATTTCACTTCACTGTCCAGTGCGACTAATCCTCCACGATTTGCAATCTTTTCCAACGCGATGCCTCTTTTAACGACCAGCCAGATGCCTTCATCTAAGCTCAGAATGCCCGAAACGACGCCAGCTACCAGCTCTCCCACGCTGTGACCAAGATAAAAGTCTGGTTCGAATCCGATCGTTCCCCATAACTTTGCACACGCAAAACCATAGGAGAACATCGCTGGCTGCGCGTATTTGGTCTGATGAAGAAGGTGAGCTTTAGTTGGATCTCGGATAATTTCCAGTAACGTGGGGCTTTCTTTCAAATAATCATTAGCAGTAGTGAGGCATTTTTCAAAGTGGTGCTTGAAAACTGGGAACATGTCGCTAAGCTGCAATCCCATGCAAGAATACTGAGCACCTTGTCCAGCGAAGATCATAGCTGTTTTGCCGCTGACATTCCTAAGGGTTCCTACGGGACTCAAAGTTCTTAAATTCCTGATGATTTCATGTATCGAGTTGCCCATAACATGAGAAGCTCGAAGTTTTGATCTGTTATGAATCGAAGGACAGTGCAATGGTTTGGTTAGGTATTCAATTTGCTCAGAAATAGAACTGTGGAAGTCGCCTTCATCATCATAAAAGATGTTCAGACCAAAAACTGGACAATGATTTAGTGGCTCGGTGTTGGGTTCGTGCGCTGGCGCTGTGCTCGCTACAGTATTATCACTAAGTTGCTCCGTATGAGTTCTGAATTCTCCAAATTCTGAATGCTGACATTGATTTCGTACTGTGAAGTCTTGTGCAACAGACTTTGCCATTTTTTCGCTTGGACGAATACCCGCATGGATGTCCAGACTTCGCAAAGACACAATGCTGGGGTCCATGTCTGGACGCTTCTTGAATAACGTGGACCAGTCTATTTTGGCTGCAACTATTTCCACTGGCTTATACTTGACAACATACTTCATGAATGCCAGTGCTTCGTCCGTGGTGAGGCCTAGAAAACCCATACTTCTCAGCTTTTTCTGTGCATTTATTGCCATGCCAGTTTCCAGCCAGTTACCCCAATGGATTGTTGTTCCTACTAGACCGCTTCTTCTGCGCGTGTATATCTTATGATCGAGATAGGCATTTGCTACAGCATAGTTGAGCTGGCCAACATTGCCGCAGATGGCTGTCACTGATGACATGACTATAAAATAGTCCAAGTGGTGGCCATACTCGTTGAGTAGCTTTTCTAGGATGTCAAAACCATCTCCCTTTGGTGCGAAAACCTCTTTAAATCTCTCGGAGCTCTGGCCTTCAACAACGGCATCACGTAATATGCCAGCGCTGTGGATGACGCCGTTGATTTTGAAGGAGAGATTAGCGAACAGAGTGGACATAGTGGCATAGTCGGTGATATTAGCGCTAATAATATGTACTCTACATGTTTTTCTTAGCTCCTCCACTTCCTGCAATAGGAACTCGTTCGGAGAGCGTCGACTGACCAGTAGTAAGTTCTCAACCTGGCATTCTTGAGCTAACCACTTCGCTATGGTAAAGCCTATGCCAGATAATCCTCCTGTGATCAGCCAGCTTCCTCCTAACTTTGGCGCCAAATCTCGTCGAGATATTTCGAATGCGCAGAAACGTTCGCAGCGAATGTAGCGAATTTTCGGAAACTTCTCAGCTGCTAACGTCATGAAAAAGCTGCGGGCCAGGGAATTGGTAGGAGAATCCGTGTTACAAACGAAGAAATTTACTTCTGCGCCATTCTTGATGAGTAGCCGAGAGAAGAAAAGTAGAGACTGAAAAAGCACTTGTGGAGTGACGTCGCGGGTAGCGTTGAAAGCTATAACAGAAGCGTTACGAACGAATTTCGACAGTTGCTGCTGTGTAGTATTTGCTGAGAAATCCATGAGCACTTCTTCCTGGCTGCGGAGGCAAAGCAGAGAAAGACGAGCTGTGCTGGTGAATGACAGTAGACAGTCAGCCTGCACATCAACATCGTCGGCAGTCACGGTGTAGGCAATGAGATTTCTCCCCTCGCTCTTGAAGCAAGTGGGAAGAACGTCGAATTCATCAGCGTTATTGCAGTTGTGGTGATTTGATGTCTCAGTATCATGTGGAAGTTCTTTCGTGCATGACGGATGAGAAGGACGATCAACATTATCTGATGATGACGCTGTAGTTGAAGGATACCCATTTCGTTGACATATTAATTCTTCGATGTTGTCCGGATCGATGATTGATTCCGACGGAGAAAATGACTGGTCTGAGGCTTGTTTTCCGTTGATAGTTTGCACAGCAGTGTAAGACTCACTGAGAACGTTGTCATGTGCCATATCCGCTTCTCCCGAAGTTTCAACAAATCGCTTTGGAGAATCGAGTCCATTCCGCATGTGCTCCATCCGTTCCGTGAGTGTATCATGGCTAACATGTATATGTGTATAGCCTGTACGACCATTGGGGAACTTTCTGAGACTGTTCAGATCTGAAAGTCCTGGTGGCATCTGTTGACTCATAACCTGCTCAACTTTTCTCAATTTACTATGAGAAGCTTGAACCTGCAAAATTGCACGAATGTGTTCAGCAAGTTGTTCGATGGTGGGATAGTCGAATATGTCCGTCGTTTGAATGTGCACATTCGAGAAATATTTGTTGTTTAGAATCTCCACAAAGTCCATGAGATTCAGCGAATCTAAGCCTAGTTCCATGAAACCCGTTGACAAGGAGGTAGAGTTGACCATGAGTTCTTGAGGAAGAACCTCCCGGGTAGCCCTTACGACCTTATTGAGTACGTCATCGATGGAGACATCTGCTCTTTCACAAAAATGCGTACTCTGCTGAGGTGGTAAAACTTGCTTTTTCGTTTCCACTTTCTCTGACGCCAGTTTCTTCACATCTAAAGGCTCAGCCACTTTGTGATTAGGCCGATTCATCACTTTCTTCCGAATATGTTCAGCAAGTTGTTCAATGGTGGGATAGTCGAATATGTCCGTCGTTTGAATGTGCACATTCGAGAAGTAATTGTTGTTTAGAATCTCGACAAAATCCATGAGATTTAGAGAATCTAAACCTAGTTCCATGAAACCCGTTGACAAGGAGGTAGAGTTGACCAAGAACTCCTGAGGAAGAACCTCTCGAGTAGCCCTTATGACTTTGTTGAGTACATCGTCTATGACGACATCTTCTGCTCGTGTACGAGACTGCTTATTCTGCCTAGTTGATGTAGCTTGTTTTCCCGTTCTTTCTTTCTCTGAAGCCTCTTCCTTCATTGGGGGCTCATGCACTTTGTGATTTAGCATGTTCTTGATTTTCTTTCGAATGTGTTCAGTAAGTTGTTCAATGGTAGGGTAGTCGAATATGTCCGTCGTTTGGATCTGAACGTTTGAGAAATACTTGTTGTTCAGAATTTCCACAAAGTCCATGAGATTTAGCGAATCCAAGCCTAGTTCCATAAAACCTGTTGACAAGGAGGTAGAGTTGACCACGAATTCCTGAGGAAGAACCTCTCGAGTAGCTTTTATGACTTTGTTGAGTACATCAACGACGGAGAAATTTTCTGCTTGTGTACGAGTCTGTTTATTCCGCCTAGTTGATGAAGCTTGCTTTTTCGTTTCTTCATCCCCTGACGCCCATTTCTTCACAATTAGTGGCTCAATCAGTTTCTGGTTTGGTCTTTTTACCAACTTCTTCCGAACATGATCAGCAAGCTGCTCAATGGTAGGGTAGTCGAATATGTCCGTCGTCTGAATCTGAATGTCTGGGAAGTACTTGTAGTTCAGGATTTCCACGAAGTCCATGAGATTTAGCGAATCCAAGCCCAGTTCCATGAAACCCGTTGACAAGGAGGTAGAGTTGACCAAGAACTCCTGAGGAAGAACCTCTCGTGTAGCCTTTATGACTTTGTTGAGTACATCATCGACGGGGAAATCTTCTGCTCGTATACGAGTCTGTTTATTCTGCCTAGTTGTAGCTTGCTTTTCCGTTCTTTCTTTCTCTGACGCCTCTTCCTTCAAACTTGGGAACTGAAGCACTTTGTGATTTAGCGTGTTCTTCATCTTCTTGCGAATGTGTTCAGCGAGTTGTTCGATGGTAGGATAGTCGAAAATGTCCGTCGTTTGAATTTGAACGTTCGCGAAGTACTTGTTGTTCAGAATTTCCACAAAGTCCATGAGATTTAACGAATCTAAGCCTGTTTCCATGAAACCCGTTGACATTGAGGTAGAGTTTACCACGAGTTCCTGAGGAAGAACCTCTCGAGTAGCCCTGATAACTTTGTTGAGTACATCATCAATGGCGACATCTTCTCCCCTTGTACGTGATTGCGTATTCTGCCTTATTGGCGAAGCTTGCCTCGTTTTTTCTGTCTCTGAAACCCGTTTCTTCACATTTAGTGGCTCAATCAGTATCTGGTTTGGTCTTTTTACCAACTTCTTGCGAACATGATCAGCAAGCTGCTCAATGGTAGGGTAGTCGAATATGTCCGTCATCTGAATCTGAATGTCTGGGAAGTACTTGTAGTTCAGGATTTCCACGAAGTCCATGAGATTTAGCGAATCCAAGCCCAGTTCCATGAAACCCGTTGACAAGGAGGTAGAGTTGACCACGAATTCCTGAGGAAGAACCTCTCGAGTAGCTCTTATGACTTTGTTGAGTACATCGTCAATGGCGACATCTTCTGCTCGTGTACGAGATTGCTTATTCTGCCTAGTTGATTTAGCTTCTTTTTCCGTTTCTTTCTCTGACGCCTCTTCCTTCATTGGGGGCTCATGCACTTTGTGACTGAGCGTGTTCTTCATTTTCTTTCGAATGTGTTCAGTAAGTTGTTCAATGGTAGGGTAGTCGAAAATGTCCGTCGTTTGAATCTGAACGTTCGCGAAGTACTTGTTGTTCAGAATTTCCACGAAGTCCATGAGATTTAACGAATCCAAGCCCAGTTCCATAAAACCAGTTGACAAGGAGGTAGAGTTGACCACGAATTCTTGAGGAAGAACCTCTCGAGTAGCCCTTATGATTTTACTGAGTACATCGTCTATGGCGACATCTTCTGCTCGTGTACGAGACTGCATATTCTGATGAGGTGCTGACGGTTGTTCTTGTTCTGTTAACTTCGGCTCAATTTTCTGGCTTGGTCGGTCCACCAACTTTTTTCGAATGTGTTCAGCAAGCTGCTCAATGGTAGGATAGTCGAATATGTCCGTTGTTTGAATCTGAACGTTCGGGAAGTATTTGTTGTTAAGAATTTCCACAAAGTCCATGAGATTTAACGAATCTAAGCCTAGTTCCATGAAACCCGTTGACATTGAGGTAGAGTTTACCACAAGTTCCTGAGGAAGAACCTCTCGAGTAGCCCTGATGACTTTGTGGAATACGTCATCGATGACGACATCTTCTCCTCTTGAAGGAGATTGCGTATTCTGCTGAGGTGGTGACGCTTGCCTTTTTGTTCTTCCTTGTTCTGAAGCTTGTCGTTGCTCGATCACTCTCGAAGGCTCAATCACTTTGTGGTTTGGTTCTAGCAGTTTCTGTTGAGTATGTTTGCCCACTCGTTCAATGGTGGGGTGGTTGGAAATATCAGCGGTGGAAAGTTTCATCGGCTCTTGCGCTGCTTGGATAACCTTCTTTAGTACATACTCCGTAGTTGATGATGAAGGGTTCAGTCTGCGCGCTGTTCTCCGAGAGCTTGGTCTGTCCGTAGTTGCGCTCTGACCTTCCCAATCTGCGTTTACGGATTGTTGCGCTGTGTTGTTATTCTTTGCTTGCTCCATCTTTTGAGAATCATCGTAAATAACTAGGTTGCTCCTAGCATTTGCCATTCTGACTATACTGTTGGTGGAATCGTCTGCCATCATTATGAGTTTGCCACTTGCCCATACTTCAATCCCATTCCCACTTCTAGATGTTTTGCTCAGCACTTCATACCTGGAGGGTAGCTTTGCGAAGATGACGAATCTGTCCAGTCTTATTCCAGGAAACATCTTCCAAGCTATCTCAAAAACAGCAGTGTATAACAATTGATTAGTTTTTGAGTGTACTCTCACTATTTTCGAGGCAATATCACGCGTTACTATAGCACAGCGTGCATTTGATAGATACATGGGAGAATTTGAATAAACCGATTTTGATTTTGCAGGAGTAGTTGAAGAAGTCTTTGATTTGTTATTGTTGAAAGTAGCACGGCATTCAAAAAAGTCCCTGCCTTCAAGCTGTGAAGTCACTTCATAAACACCATCACACTGCTTTACTGTCGTCAAAAGTTTAGTCGACCGGCTCAGGTTTTGCACATGAACACGAAATTGTTCTATCACGACGTTGCCATGAAGTTGTTGTATCAGCGCAGTGTAGGCAATTTCTAAAGCAGAGCTCGCTCCTATTTGATTTTTACCGAGAAGTTGTGGATGCCGCAAGTCGTCAATATAGTTTATAAAAACAGTTTTGTCCGCTTGCTTTTCTTTGATGGAACCAAGGAGGTAGTGGTCGAATGCATGACTTTTCTTCTTGAACCAGAGCTGTCTGCGATTGAATGGGGTGTTGGGTAACGCGACATTAGTGCTTATTTCCATGAAAAGATTGGAAAATATTAGCGGGAAACCATTGATATACAGCTTTGAAAACAACGCAAGCAATTTTAGGTAGTTCATGGTCACAGACTCATCGCACACCAATTTAGAGAAATTTGAATCACATGTAGGTGTTGCAGTTACGTTGAGCTCTTCACACTTTGTTGAAGATATTTCGAATTCTTTCAAAGTGTTGACTACAATTTCAGTATTCGGCAGTCTCAAGAGTTTGGCCGAAGCTTGAGAAATCGGCAGGATAGAAATTGCCATGAGGACAGCTACAAGTTCGCGACCTGTTTCAGCGTAAAAGTCTACTTTTTCTAGAACAGCGGCCATGAACGTGATGAAGGATATCAGCAGTTTCTCATCATTGCTGAGAAAATCATCAAGCGAGTTGAAATATTTCAGTAGAGCTGGAAAGGACAGCAGATCGTATGAAAGGCTACAGTTCGACAGCACTGCGACAAATCTTCCAGAATCCGTTTGCGTCACTTTACCGAAGCATTCGAATAGTTCATGCCCTTGCCTGTTCACAACCACTGCGCATCGGAAATTATAGTGTTGTCGTCTTGCGAGAGCAGCAGCTACCTCATCCACGGAATGTTTGGTTGTAATCAAACATTCTTTGACACTCTCTACCAACTGCCGCAATGAAGCCTCTTCTTTCGCAGAAATGAGCAACAGATTAACTTTTTTCATTGCGAGCAATCGCAGAGTTGGTGCGGCAGCTGCATGCACCAAACCTGCAGCGTTGGTCCCACTCACCCCAAAAGATGTCAACCCACATGTATTCAGTTCCACATCTTCTCCGACAACTGGCAGCGTCAAAGATCCAGCATCAATTCGCTTATTCAAAACATGAAAATGAATAGCTGGAGGTATGTAATCGTGTCGGATCATGAGTAACAGTTTGATGAGAGCCGCTCCGCCTGCTGAGGCCTCCCCATGTCCTATGACATTTTTAATAGATCCGATGTTGATGTCTTTGAACATCTTAGATAGCGTGTCAAACTCCGCTGGGTCACCGACAGCTGTACCAGTCCCGTGCGCTTCCCAGTACTGGGGGTCCGGGCTACCACAGTCTTGCATCAAGGAGGTGAGGAGCATCTTGTGGGCCACAGGATTGGGTGTGGTCAACGATACAGCCCTTCCTCCATGATTAACATTCACTCCTTTGACTATACCTAGATATTCACGATTGCTTTTGGCCAGTTCGAGCAGCATCACAACACATCCGTCTGAACGTCCATAGCCGGATGCTCTAGCGTCGAAACTCATCGACATGCCATGACGGGACAGCATCTTGCCGTTTGCACGAGCACCCTGCCCTTTTTCGCTTAGTATTAGATTTACTCCAGCTACAATAGCTTGAGAGCACCTGCCACTTTCAAGAGCACTAATAGCAAGCTCAACTGCTACAAGTGAGGAGCTACAGGCTGTGTCAACAGTAACAGCGGGACCGTGACAGCCGAAGACATAACTGATCCGCCCAGCTATTACAGCACACATCGACCCGAGCAAAGATAGAACTGAGTTGCTGGTTTCCATTAGGTCTGGATATTCTTTCTCCATCAAACCTATAAATACCCCAATTTCAGCAGTCTCGGTGACGCTAGCATTTTCAAGACATTCTTGCACACACTCCAGAAGGAGGCGCTGCTGAGGATCAATTGCTTCCGCTTCCCTGGCCGAAATGCCAAAGAAAGAGCAGTCAAAGAAAGACACGTCTTGTGAAATGAAGTTGCCTCCTTCAACGGGATTCCCATATTTTCTGCCTTCGATGAGCAAATCTCTCGTCTCAATTCTGTCTATAGGTATCCTAGACGATGGGTTTTTGCCAGTTTTGAGAAGATCCCACAGCTCAGCCATGTCCGTGACTTCTCCAGGAAGCCGGCAAGAGGTAGAAAGAACTCCCACGTCACTCCTATGCCTTCTTATTTCTTGTTTTGCGCTTGGCAATGTTTGCCATTGGTTAGCTTCTTGCAGTTTATGTGGGATTCTTCCAGGCACAGTAAAGCCAGAAAGGCGAGATCTCGAAAGTGGGATTTTGAAAATATTTCTGGCATTTGAGTAGCGCTTTCTATGACGACCATAAGATCTCGTCGTTCGTCTAGGCTGCTCGTAATCTCGGCATTTGAGTAGGGAGCTGAAACGCGCTGTTTTATCATACACCGTTGCTGGTAACTCCGCCATATCTCCTCGACTGAGCGATTTATTTCTGTGACAGTTGTCAGTGCTCCCATTTTGATAGGATGGAGAAGGATTTATCGGCTCTGCTTCGTCAACATCTAGCTTCGATATGGGAGGAAATACCTGATCATTTTGAAAGTACTGCTCCGTCGCTGATGGTGTAATCACAGATGTTGACGTGTTACAGGAACGGTCAGATGTTGCTGGTAAAAGACTATGGGCAAGAAACTCGCAACTCCAATTGTCTAACATACACAATTCTTTGCTTGCGTTTGGTTTGAAGGCAACCGCTGTCAGTACTGCGAAAACTGAGAAAGCATTAAGCTCATCCGGTAAGTGACTGATTGCCACACCGGTGGGTTGTACGTGTGCCATGGAGTATGTTGAGGTGGTATTTGGAATTATGTGGTCCAGAGGTCTCTCATGGCACTTTACACGGTGAGTCACACAAGCTTCGTCTATCACCAGAAACTCGTCATTATCTACCTTTTGCATTGTGTAGGTATAACTTCGTTTCCCATCCGAGTTTTGAACAACAACACTAACAAAACTAGTCAGTTGGGGTGACAGCCAGTGGCACGTTGAAATGTAAATTGTTTGCTCCTCGTTATTATTATCTTTGTTTAAGAGTTGGTTGTTTGATTCTACAGTCTGGTTATCTCTCATTTCTTGTCTCTCACCAATCACCGCTGTGCTTCCTACAATCTTCATGATTACTAGCGAAACAAATTAAAAGTAACGCACGGTTGGCATTAGCAGATGAGAACTCCCGTTGTTGATCGTCTCCAACGGTGAATGACCCGTATCGACAACCATGTGCTCCTTGTCCAACCCAGTTTATCGGATCCGAGTGGAAGTGTAGAATGACCATTGGGAGTTCCGCGAAGGATCAGGTCCTTAAATTATTCGGTGCATGTGTATTGACGTGTAGCAAAAACAAGTTTCGGATGGGCTAGGACGACTAATTTGTTAAAGCTAGCTAACAATGTTCCCGCACCGGCACCGTCCACATAAGTATAGGTTTTTTAGGTTTTTTTTCTTCGAGCTATTTCCCCGCTGCAAAAGATGAATTTGTGAGAAAACCTATCCAGAAGGCAGAAGCGGAAGATGGCTCCGCACATCCTTGAATGGTCTGAAGACATAACAAACATGAACTTGGGCTACCCTAAAGGACATTTCCGGACTCATTACCTTCAGACCACCACTTCGATGGGTGGAGCCATCTTCGCAAATTTTATCTTCAGCGATCTCGCTCAGGACTCAATCTTTTGCAGCGGGAAGGCGAGGATTACATGGATAAGGGAATCAAACAGTATCAAAACCTCACCACCCTCATTTCAGTGGACGGTGCCTTTGAGGAAAGACGCGCTTCGATTGAATGGCCCATGCAGCTGACGCTACCGTTGAGCATGGCGAACGCACGCTTCTGCCTAACCTAATCTTACAAAGCCCTACAGTCGAGTAGATTACCTGCTTAAGATAGTGTCCCTGCAGACGCGACAACGACACTTGTGCGTCAACAATTGCCATTGAGAATCCGTTACTGTTTTCTAGTGGTTTTCGGCGCTATTCCAGTACACCGACCCCAAAAAATAAAAATCTTGGAGTTCGCTCAAACTCGATGTGGGGGGGGGGGGGGGTTATTCGACCCGCTGATGCCGAATATCATAGTAGGGGGGTTATTTGACATACTGACCACGAATATGTGTTTACTAATTACGTTAGTGCCTCACTCTGAAGTTACGGTGGGCATACATTACCAATACTACCGCTAAATCGAGGTTCAAGGCTTGAAATCCAAGACATTGCCGAGGGCATATCATATTCGTGTTCAGCATGTCAAGTAACCACTCTGCACCGAGTTTCAGAGAATTTTTTGGGAGACGGTCTTTTTGCACGGACGGTCTCCAGCGCCGCCCTGATTTTGAATTGTTTTAACAGGTCACGCACGCCGCAAATTTCCTCCCCCTGCTTTGCTTAGGCAAAAGCCGCCGCAGGGTGTGTCCGCGGCGATGGTCTGTGTGGAAAGTACAACGGTCGTGCGGATCGCCCTACACCCGAATTTTGCGATTTAGGCCCCCTACCGTATACCCACCGTAATCACGGAATGCGGAGCTACCGTAACGAATGAATGTCGTATTGTTTAGCATGTCAAATAATCCCTCTGCACCGAGTTTCAGAGAATTTTGCGATTTTGCCCCCTTACCGTGTACCCACCGTAACCCGGAAAAATGACGCTATCGCACGGAATCGATATGATATTCGGCATCAGCGCTTCGAATAACCCCCCCCCTATACCGAGTTTGAGCGAAATCAGAGATTTTTAATTTTTGGGGTCGGTGTTGATGATTTATCTATCATCAACCTCATCAATTCTATAATCCTAATAGCTTACGGGTATTCCCCATAGGCTATATTCCCCAACCGCTTATATTTAAGTGCCGAATCCACCAATGAGTGGCACCTATCTTCCAGGGGCCGCGCCAAGCCGCGGCATCCTCTTTCTTGCATATATTTCGTGAACATTCCGATTGTGCACGGGTCAGCTCCGCCTTACTACCTATATAAGGAGCCCGCGATTGTATTATAGGTTGCTTCCGCCGGTTCAACGCCGGGGTTCGTCTGTGGATAAATCTATTATCGACATTACTATCGCCTACGACACTTGGTTCCCACCAAATTGGTCCATCGGCCGGGAAACCAACCTATGCTGGAAGGCCCCCGGCTTACTTGAAAAGCAAAGAGTAAACAAAATAACATCAAAAAACACTTGTTTGGGAACTTGCTATGGAGATTATTTACACACAAGCGTTGTCGCATCTGCAGGAATACTATATTGAGCAGGAAACCCTGCGCGACTGACGTTGCGTTCAGATGCCCGTGCGTGTGTTGATCTCGTGCGCAGCATTAAACCAGTCCTGCGGCGAGCACGAAACCCACATATGGGCATGTGGGCCTCTATACAGAGGCCTCTCACACATCTGGAAAGACCTCCTCCTTGTACGATGATCGCAAACGTGTTTAGTAAGATGATATTCACCATCCTGCTTTAATCACGCACGAGTAGAATGTTCAAAAGTGTTCATCTAAGTTCAAGTTGTATTCTTCATTCTATTCATCTCCTTTTCCATTTAACGAGCCGAAGTGCTGGTTACATGCATGGGTTGGAGTGCGGACAGAGCATTTGCACAGAGGTTGCGTAAGTATCGAACTACTTCTCAGGTTGGAAAGTGGAGCTATGATATGCTATGGTAGATGCGGTCATGTAAGGAAAATAGCCATTCTCCGCAACAACGGGTTATATGCTGAATAGGAAAGGCAAAGAGAACGACTGGCTTGAGAGGAGTCGAAAAGCAAGGACCAGACAAAATACGGAGGATATATGAGGCAAATAATTTTGATTGTGAATTGGAATAATTTGGCTTGATAGACATAGTTCCTCTCTTGTTTTGAGGCGGGCCGTAATCTTCCTAGCTTCAGGTATTTGACAATTATTATCAGAATTCTGCCCTTTTGACATGCCCATGAGTGCAAGAATTTGTTTGTTGGTTTTCAATGTATTTAAAGGCACCGTCCACCCAGATTCTCGACTTCCAGGTTTTTGTCGTTTCATGGCCGTCTCATGTCCCTGATTCCAAATTTGAAGTCGAGAATGCGCGAAAACCCCGACAATCCCCGTTTCGGAGAACCCACATGCCGGCTTTCCGGCACGGTGATTGGATGTGCGCGCGAAAATGGGCGGGCATGGATGGGGGAGGGCGGGCATGGATGGGGGTCCTCGTGTATCTTCGCTATTCCGAAGTGATTTTCTCGCTTACAAAGCGAGATTTTGCGCCGCGACATGGGCATTGGACTGATAGAGGACCCTACTATTACATGCTGCCAAAAGCCCAACACCCTCAACTTAAAGTGGACGGTGGCTTTAAGCTCAGAAGGAGCCAAAATCAAGAAGTGACCGCACGCAAAGCGGATCACTTTGCATGCTAAACATTTCCATAAGTTTTGGAGCTTTACTTAGGTTGTGGTGGTAACAGTACTGTAGATAGCATCAATAAGCACCTCACGGTATAGTTATCCATCAGGATAAAGGTATGGATCGCGACGTTTTGAGTTTGTACAGCACAATGAACTGCTCGACAAATTTGGAGTGTTCGACAAAATTATGGCGAGAAACATCTTGGCCAAACAACCGGGCTTATATTAGGTGGGTCCGAAAGTTCGTGCCGTTTTTTAGACCTATCCTCAAATCATTCAGAATAAAGGTAGACAAACACTCCAAAGAGTGTTCTATGCAGAAATTCTTTCTCTTTCCAGAAGCTATGCCTTCGCTGTGACTGCTTCGACGACCGCTGAGATAATTGCCAAAAAATAGAACCCTTCATTTTTACCATGTCTGACTTTCGCTCAGGGCTCGGCACGAGGTGGCTTACAAGCAAGCTGGATATCGTTTTTGGGACGAAAAGCAAAGGGGGTTTCGTTTTTGTGACCGAAGAGACACGGAAAATTGGCGACGGCGACCTTTTTTTTTAGTCGACGTTTCGTTTTTTTTTTCAGGTTTTTACAGGAAATTTGGTTGAGGGTCAAAGGGGACTTCGTAAAAATTCCCAAAAGTCAAGGGGGACTTCGTTTTTTCCATTTTCATCTAGCCACCTCGTGCCGAGCCCTGCTTTCGCTAATTTTCAGAATTTTCATTTCAGACCTTTGAAGGTGCTCTAATAACCACCTAATATGGCAAACCTTTTGCAAACTAATGCAATTTTTTGCATCTTTATAGCATGCTCTCTGGAATTACTGAAAGATACTTTCTGAAGTAGTCAAATTTTATATTTGGCTCATCCTAATCTCGCAAAACATCAGACATTGAACGATTTAGATACCATTCGATGCATCTTTCCTGCTCTTTCTGATTGGTACCTTTTATTCGACTTTTTAGACAGAATCGCTGTACCTCTCCTAGTCGTAATGCCAAAATCTAACCATTTTCATGCCGTAATCGCTCATTTACTTCGTACTAGTAGTGATGTTAATAATCGAGTTTTAGAACTTCAATATTTTGAGGTTTTCGCAGTGTTTGGTGCAATTATGTGTCACGCGACTTTTTCAAAATTCACTGCTCTAGTAAAATAATTCAGCAAAATTCTAAAGAACTAGCTGAGAAAATGCAAAAAATTGCATTAATTTAAAAAACGTTTGCGTTATCAGGTGGTTATTAGATTACCTTCAAAAGTCTAAAATGAAAATTCTGAAAATTAGCGAAAGTTAGATATGGTAAAAATGAGGGGTTCTAGTTTTCGGCAATTATCTCAGCGCTCGTCGAAGCAGTCACAATGGAATCATAGGCTGGAAAGAGGAAGAAGTTCTACATCGGATAGTGTTTGAAAGATTTATCGGCCATCATTCTGAACGATTTCAGAATAGGTCTAAAAAACGGCACGAACTTTCGGACCCACCTAATACAATGTAGCTTCAAGCAAAAAAAGGGTGTAGGTTTTTGATCTTATATAAAAACAGCCCCGCTAAAGGACCTGTTTCATGGGAAGTTGAAGTGACAACTGCGAATACTTTGGAACAATGGCTTCAGCATAGGCTATTCACAGTTGAGCAAATTTTGCAAGAAAGAGCAGTGGGAAAGCTGGCGATTCCGAAAAAAACTCTGTATAATAGAGAAAACAAAACTACTGACCTCAGAAGACGATAATACCATGGACGCTGCTTTCGTACCACAACATGGTCGCCCTAAATGCTACAATTTTTACAAGACGGATGAACGCGAGAAAAACATGTTTTCGTGTGCGGTATATGGAGAAGAGTTCCAAAAATGTAAGCTTTTGCAATGTATATGTCAAACAGAGAAGAAATGAGAAGTCAAAAACGATACTTGGCAAACAGTAACGATATGAAACTATAGGTTTATTTCAGTATCGCAAGTAAATGCTTAGAAGTTATTACTCATTGCATCTGATGACTACTCTCAATGGAAGACAGAACTTCTCAAGGGCTTGTTATACGTTTCTGGATCAATCCCTCCTCGACTCACAACCTCGCACTCCCTTGACTTCAAATCTGGAATCTTTTCACATGGAAACTGTTGAACTTTTTACCTTTGTAGGAACACAAAACAAGAACGAGTCGAATACGAGGAAAAGAGTTGGGATTCCACGGTTCAGTGTGTGATGCGATGTGAACCCAATAGACTCATTGATGTCATGGAATCAATAGCAGACTGTAATTGTATAAATTAGACCAAAATAGATCACGAATGTCTCACAACACTTGCCAATCATCACACGAAATGCGGCCAATTGTCTCGCGACGCTCCCAATGTTGTGGCACCACTAACGACAAACACAATAAAGTGATACATTTGAATCTTATGTTACAGATTAGTTCTGAGGAGTCAATTTGCAATCTAGAAAAAAGGCGTGCAAATATTTGCACGAACCAAGGGACGGATGTCAAATGCCCACCAATGGTCACATTCTGCTTGATTGGACATCATACCTTGTAAAATAGTAGAAACGCGTATGCAAGCTCAATCAACAAAAAACTACTTACATTTAGAAGAACTGTTCAAGCTGATCACTTGTCCACAAGCCGTGCATGGCCATGTCTTGAGACGAAATCACGTTACTAATGCTCGCCAAAATGAGTTTGAAAAGGCTTGTGCAAAAGCGTATTGCGCTTTGCTCAAGCACCCCACCCCTCCCCTTCCTTACACCTACCTCTCATTATGTAACATTCTAAGGAAAGTGGCTGCTGCCGGAATCAACTTGCAATTATTAGGTTGATACAGAAATAATTGCCGTTCGGCGAATTCTTACTTTAACGTGCTATAAGTTTTTGAACAATCCACATTTTTGAATGCGATAAAAACCATCACAAGCAGCAGACCTTTTGCAATACAGCGCACATTTATATACCTGCACCATTATCATAAACGGGCAGAAAATATGGATTGTAGAACAAAAAAGATTTTCTCTGAAACCTCGCATTTGACGAATTGAAACTTTCTTCAAAGTTTGTGAATGATAAATGGATCTCGTAGCCGCAAGGCAATAGTACAAAACACGATAAAAAAGGTTTGGAGAGAAGAGTTTGCGATAAGGAAAAAGATTAAAATTCAAAACTGTCAATTTTTTCAACATCTATTAAATATGAATCAAAGTCCCGAATATAAAACTTTCTGATTTTGTGCGTACTGAACAGTTGGATGTTTTTGCAAAAACTGCTGCTAGAAATATTTTTTGTGACTTATGTAAGCAACTTTCAGAAATTTCGCTACCCATTCTCAGAGGGGAGGGGGGGGGGGGGGCGCTGCCGGTCAACTACATATATAGCACAGTAAGTTGGAACCGAATATTCGTGTCCGAATAATTTATTCGAAATATTCGACTACTCATATTCGATAAAGTCCGATTATTCGATTATTCGAATAGTCGAATATATGAAAAAGGTCTTTATGCAAATAATTCGTTCATTCGAGGATTCGAGAAAATGACTTATTCGAATATTCGAATTCGAATAATATGAAAATCGGAAATCGAATAATATTCGTTCATTCGAAAAATTTTCGAAAACCAATTATTGTACCATTCGTTCAAAAATTTTCAAAAATCGATTTAATATGTGTTCATTTGATGAAAATTCTGTTCGTTACAACTATTAGGTTGTGTAAAAAGTTCTGTCCCATTTTCTCCTTCGATTTTTTCTCACTATTTTGCGCGTTGTTCTGCAAATTGTTCATATGCATTTGAAAGCTCTCAGCCTTCTCTACTGTAACTTTCATCTCGGTTTTCTACATCAGATGACTTGAAAAAGTTTTACAGCGTCAAATTTGGAAAATCGAACAGGAAAAAATCTATTTTGGACAACTACGTTACGTCGCCCTCCTAATTAGTCAGAATGCCTAAGAATAAGCTCGAAGAATTTGCAAACGTAAGCAAAGAATGCTCTAGCTTCTATTGCGCTTCAAAAGTGCTGAAACTTTTCAAAAATCAATTTTGCAGACCTTAGAAAAGTCTTCTTTCTAACGCCTTTTCAAAGTTAGTGTTGGGCATCATCTGAAGGCATCCTGAGGGAAGGTGGTAGACGGATCATCCAGAAAAGGGAGAAGGAATGGTTTGTGACTTCAAAATTATCGAATTCGTGGGTTAAATACTCGAAATTCGAATTTTAGGAGCCACACAGCTTGGGTACGCGAGACGGCGAACATCGCCGTGACAGAGTCTTGCCTTGCCGACTTTTGAAAAAATGTCATTAAATAGCCGGTGGAAGGAAGGTAACATGCGCAAACAGTTATAGAATAAGTGTAAAAGTCTAGTGAATTGTTTTGGTTGTTGTCAAGCTTGTTTAATTAGTTCTACCAATAAAAATCGAGAAAAATTTGGAAGAAAAAGGGTGTCGAATGATTTTCGGCTCTTTGGATTTTTGGTTTCAATGACAAAAATTTTTTTCAATCTTCTGCTTAGTTGGAGAATGATGCATACGAGTCTGCAGAGCAGACTTAGAGCTTTCAAAAGCATGTTCACTTTATCTCAAATATAGTCGATGTTGTCAAGAAAAAACCAAAACAAAAAATGGGACAGAACTTATTACACGACCTAATTTATAGCACAGTAACTATTAAAAGCATCTCAAAATCACTCGAATCGTACCGCGCTTTGCAACATATGTATCTTTCCGGTCCATTGATGACACTAATTCAATGTTTTATATTTCGTCAACTACTTTCCTTCCCATATGCGATCATTCTATCCTTACAATTAGTTTTTGTTCGTTCAGTTACACACGGAGATGAGATCGATTCCATTTTTTAGCGTTTTTTGCCTATCTTGTGGCTTTCTTTTTTGCTGTTTATGTTAATATTTACTAAGTTTTCCTCGATCTAGTTTCCGCAGGACAATCGTCATGGTCTCTTCAAAAGGAATAGCCGTTCAAGGATTTCACCGTAGTCCTTTCGCCCAGGGTCCCTAGTGAACTTGGTTCGCCGGGTTAAGTTGGTAATCCAAGCCCTGGTCTAAATCGTCATCACTGCGTCGGGATAAGGGAAAAGGATCTCGGTTACGTTCTGCAGAAGGAGAACGACCTGACCACCTGTGCAAGAGACTGCTCTCACAAGAATCATTCAGCGGAAACTATTTTTAGTCTACCATTTGTGCTGTTTGGTGTTCTTCATGTGGCGCACCTATGAGTGCAAACATAAACAAATAAATAAAATAGGTAAATAAGTTCTACGCAGATTTGATTGACCATTTAAAATCATCGCACATTGTCAGGACGTCTCAAAATTAGTTCAGTCCTTACATGATTCCATTATCCATGTAGAGCACCTTAGATTCGGAACTCATTTGCATATGATTCAAATATGACATTTTCTGGAATCTAACGCACGAAAGGGCAAAAATCCATGGCTTTATCACAGAAGCTTTCTACTATATGTATATTGTAACCCACGAGATCTCCTAACAATAGGATACCTTGGACAGATAATTCCAGCCACCTTTAAAATGTGGAAATAGTAGAAAGGATTGTAGAATTTTTGAAAATTCAATCAAAGCACTAACTCCAGCGGTGATTTGTGGAGGGGCCTAGAGAACTGCGAGAGACCTGTATCATTTCTATTCGAGTAAGTAAGCTTCTCTTTCCTGATAAAAGTCTTATGCAGCTATAGCATTATCTTATTTTATGCAGCGGGCTGTCGCTCTGATCTAAGAAAAAAACGTGGACTTAGAATACATTTGAAAAACAACTGCAATCGAATAGAACGAGGAGAACCTTCGATCGAAAATTTATAATTATCATTTTGAGGACTAAAAATTTTGGTCCAATCTAGTTGCTATAGAGTTCTGCAACTCAGACCCATGGTCACTGCTAGATTTAATCCACACTTTCGTTCTTAATTGTCTCCTGCAAGATCTTGAAATAAACATTACCATTCTGCAATTTTTTGTTTGCGCCTCTATACCTTGGTTATCAGCAGCGCTGAGATTATCAATAGGGCTTTAACGAACTGTTGACGAAAGTTTGCCTGAAAATCAACATTTAGGAAAGGCATCAATGTTCCCTCACACTTTGTGCTGCCAACACATGTATTATTAGATGACATGCCCACACCACACAAAGGTCGAATTTGCGGTGAATTGCATGTCGATCTCTAGGTGATCTCTTCATATGCCCGAAACAATTTGCGCAGTGCACAAAAATCACTAAACGCATCTAGTTTAAACCGATTCTTGGTAGAGCAAGCGACTTACTGTATGATAAAACTCAAGCCATTGCAAGTTTCCTTTCGATTTCAAGTGTTCATTTTGTTCAACCTTGTTTTTTTATAAAAGCAGCATTCTTTTTTTTTACTCACCAATAAATGAGAACCAGTTTATTGGCGTTTATGTCGACCTTATTTGATCTGAATCTTGTGTCTCCTTATACTCAGCATCGTACTAGTGATGTCTTCTGGCTCCATTTGGCTCACCTGGTCAAGCCATTTCTGAATTCACATGCAGGTACTGAGCAGATTGAGTAGCTGCAGATGCTCAGCAGTTTCTATCGTGACCGGTTGAATTGAAAATGTCACAGAATGGTATTTCCCCATTACCGCGAATTGGAGAGTATCACTGTCTTCTTAGCAAGAAAAATGAGAACTTTGGCATTACAGATAAAAACTTCCCATGTATTGTAGGAAGCAGTATAAAATCGAGAAATAAGAGATTCCCTAATAATCGGAGAACGAATTAGAATATGGATGTAAGCTCTGTAAAAGCCATATGGATGCGACAAGGCAACGCTGTATCCTTTTTAAAAAGAACCTGTCTGTATTGCTACCTTGTATTTACCCTCGTTGTGTATGGGTCACTTGCAAGATGTATAAAGCTATAGCAATTTGTTTTTTGATTAGCTACAGTTTCATATTGAGAATGCATGCATAGATCTGTCTTGCATATTATGAAAAATCTGAACAGATACTACTATCAAAAAAGATGAAATAAGCCAAGTTTTGGACCAAAAGCAGTGAAATAATGCGTACAATTGTTATAGAACAGTGGGTCAGCACACATTTTGATATCCGTGCATTTCTTCCGTGCAACAATCTACCGCGAGCAAAGCATTTGCATTGCGAACTTCTTAGGCTTTCGAAGGAGATTATGAATAATGTTCACTCATCGCCAAGTTACGCAGATGAGTATGCCAAGCCGGCAGAAGCTGTTGCTTATGAAGTTATTTAGCATCCAGTTTAGAATTCTGCATCTTATTATCATCATATGCGACAATCTGCAGAAGTCTGATGTTAAAAACTTGGCAAAAAATTATCGCTGCTCAAAAGCAAACATTTAGGAGTATTATACTTGCGTAAAACATATTAGATTAGAAACCATGCTGACATCCCGCTACGCTTTATAGAGATTTTGTTCACGAGGTTGTAATACGGTAATTGTATGAGTATGTAGCACCCTCCTTTAAATTTTCTCGCCAGCTCTAAACTGCACATTCTAAGACCAGTATTCACGAATGCACAAGAACAAATCTGCTCATGAGCTATCAAATCAACGTATGGTCCTCATAATATACAGCGGACACGTTGAACTTTTGTCTGAATGAGTGAACAAGTGCAACCAGACGCACCGGCAACGGTGGCGTGAAGTTCTGAGGATGGACAAACGCCGAATCAATCGATACGAACTGCGGTGTAAACATGCGAACGAGGCCCCTACCGAGGACAGTCTGCTGCTCTTTTCGCAGTTTTATTCTTTTTTCACTTGCACTTCATGGCGATTTGTTGACATGTTTGTCTCTCAGCAGTCACCCCCCCCCCCGTACTAGCCAGTTACTGCCTGAAACGTTTGGCCACAACTTTGCTGCGAGCATTGAATATCACCGATTCGACTGCACGGTTAATAAGTGGCAGCTTGGTAGAATTTGCATGAAACCAGCCGTGAAGGTGCATTCTGGCAAAATGCAAGGGTTGATTTGTTATGCCAGCTACGTTCCTGCGTCTCTTTTCGAGCGGTCCGAGTTATTGATTTTAGAACTTCAGGTGAACTTCCTGGCATGTTTCACCTTTGCTGCGCAGCTTCTATTCCTCTATTATTCATAGCTCTTCACAGACTACCGCAGTTTTCGGTCAAGTTCACAATTGGTAGAATTTTTTTCACATTTTTTACAGATCTGTTCCACCCATATCCGCCCTAGGTAGGGCTCCCGAGGAACAATGGATAGTAAGTTGCTGAAATATTCTTCTGGGTCTCTGTAGCAGTCATGGTAAACTCCTAGTTATTAACTAGCTTTTTTCACGGACAGCCTTGCAAACTCTATATCTAGCTAACTAACGATAAGATTCGTTTTGAAAATGAGGAAATGATGGTTTTGAACTGCCTTTGATAGTTAATCTAAGTACCTTTTTCAAATCAGAATTTGGTCTCATAAAGTCCAGTAGAGATGCTGTTCCCTTTATCAAATAGCTGTCTTTCTCTATTCGTTAGAAAAAGTGTTTTACAAAATTTTAGTCTGCGCTGAGACTTTGCGTTAATAAGGCTGTAGTGTTCCCAAATTATTTTCACTTCTTAGACATTGGCAGTATGGTTCTAGCTGAGACATATGGAGTACATCAATGCTTGGGTTAAATTAACTTATGCACAGTTTATTTTCCAGCTATTTTTATAGTTATTTGTGTTGTTTACTTTTCTACATACACATCTTTTTTTTTAGTATCCAGAGATATGAGTTTGGTATTTGGAGCTGTCAGGGACGAGGACAACATCCAGTCCAAACAGCAGAACAATAGCGATTCGTTGTACAGGGAGCTTATGGGTTCATCGGGTTTACTCACAATAGGAGGTAAGTTACACAGTTTACCTCCAACTGTCCTCATCAATAATTACAACGGAGGAGAGAACTGCCTTACAAATGCTGCTCAACTAAATTATGCCTACAAAGATAAATTTCGTGTCCTTTGGAATCCACACTCTATCATATTTGTGGCACTTGTTGTTTTCACCCGTCTGTGCCAAAAAATACGGCTAATGACGTCGGATCATATTCTAACCCATTGACAACAACTGGCCACTGGTGGAATAGCATTCTGGATAGCTGCCAAAAATTCTTTTCAATAATAAAAAGCATGCACATATCAGATAGCATACAGACATTTTCACTTTAGTTCTATTGAACCAACTTCAGAAATCAAATATATTAGGTTGAACCGAAATTTTTTCGCAGCATCAAGCTATGACTCCAATTTTGTTCACAATTCCTTTGGTGTAAGTCACTGAAAAAAAATGCCAGAGCTACAAGCAATCGAAAATCATCAATCTAGTTTGGCATTTTTTCAACAAGGTCTCGAAAAGCGAATTTGTCATATTTCTAACACAGTGTTAGCTTGCTACGTGCAGCGGTAGACCCAAATTCGTTGACCCACAAAACTGAAATTTTTGCGATTTTCCCATGTAATAATTGGCAAATGTTTCACCCGGACTTTTTGTACAGAAAATGCATCACGAAATTTCTGATATGGCGGATTTTTTGTATAATGTGAATATTATTTTGTTGGTTGATGCACATCTGCTGCTTTTCTCAATAAATCGGTGTAATGAAGTGACCAGTTACAAATTTCCACTTTCGTCGTTTCAAGCGGAATTTGGGCTTACCACTGCACAAAGCAATTCAGTACTGTGCGAAAAATATGTACAAATTCTTTAGTTTCATTCTGCTGCCTTTCAGTATTTTTTTAGAGACCTTGCTTAAAAATGTTGAACTCGAGTAACTTTTTTCTGCTTCTATACCTCGCTTTTTCTCTTCTTAACTTACAGTAAAGTAAGGGTCGTAAAGACGATGATTTTCTCTATCCAAAAGCTAAAATCGCCGCTGGATATTGATACTATAAGAAGCTATCATTTTGGAAAAAGGGGCGATAGAAATTTCTGTTATCATTTTGGAAAAAGGGGCGACAGAAATTTCTGTTTAATCTAACATCAGCTAATGCCCATAAACTTTCAAAAAGCCGTTTTTTTACTTCTTTCTGCACCAATTTTGAATTTCAGGCACCACACGACATGTTAACTATGAGGACTTGCAGTTTATCGCAGACTTGGGTTATGGGAGTTGTGGACATGTAAAGAAAATGCAGTATAACGACAATGTAATGGCGGTTAAGGTAAGTTACACTCTCTTCAACTCAATGAAGATAGCATAAAATAAGCTTGTCAGAAGGTGAATGTAGGTTGATAGAGTAATCGCCATATACAGCTTTTGCGACACTCCATCTGATTGCTAAACAAGTCTTTCCTTCCTCGGATAAGATAAATTATTCACAGATATGATTTTCCACAGCTAAATTTTCAGTACTTGCTTCGATGCCATAACTCTTAGCAGATGTAGTTTGCAGCAAAACCCACTGACAATGAAAACGCTATTGATTCTTTATTATTTATAGATGACGTAATTAGTCTCGTTCTTCTAATAGCACTAAGCAAGTGCTCGTAATTCTGATAGTGACCAGGGCATTTTTTGTGGTCTTGCCAAAAGTTTGAGATCTGATGATTTATAAGCGAAAACGAAAATTTTCACTCATACAGTTGTTATGTCAGTGCTTCATATTTATCAATTTTCATCGAAATTGTATGCCCTACCTGTCTTTTTGCCTTCCTTCCTCCATTTTTTGTATAAAACATGTATGGTATTGATATGCTACTCTCACTCGTTAGTTTGAAATCTTGTAATTTGATAAGGCATCAAATTTTTTGTTTCAGTGGGTTAAATGGAAAGTGATGGATTGGGAGGCTTTGCCATTATAATAAGAATCATTATGGTTTTGATTGTATGATCGGAAATCGTAAAAATTGCTAAATTAATGCAACCCGCTTTGGTAGTCGCTTTTATCGATACTTAAGAATTTGCAAATTTCTTACAAATCGTGGCGCAACATCCTTCACTTACCTAGAGAAAGGTGAACAGATTTTGACGAAGATTGCATCCAAAGTTCATGCGTCTGTTCCATTAGTTTTTTATCTCGTGTAGAGTAAATACTGCAGGAGAAATAGAATTTTTCCGAAATTCAGCGTGCAGAAAAAAGCGCTCATTATCTTTTTGTGCAGCTATTATGTTGCAAAGATCTGCTCTCGATAGACAATGCCTCTTTACGAACCTTTGTTATTTTTTTTGCTATACTAATATATTGTGAGTCATAGTATAATACTTACTCGTAGTCTGCAAATGTTTCAACCTCATCGCCATACTTGCTCCAGTAAACTCAAACTCCGTACCTAACTGAAGCAGTTCATCCAATAGCTCGTGCTCCGTATTTTCCCTCCAACCACTCTGTCGTATGATTATTCATACAATTCCTTGCAAATACCTCTTGGTTATAGAATTGTTTTTGAAATTGAAACGAATTTCAATCTTTTCATTCTGATAAAAGCATTCCCTATAATGTGCAGCTGAGTCTCAAATCGCATTTGTTTTCAATATTCTTCAAGAACAATTAGTTTTTTTTTGCATTGTAAGGGGTGTGACGATTTGTTGGTTCAGTCATGAGATACTATCTTTGCAGTCCATGCCGAGAAGTACTAATCCTGTCGAGAGTAAAAGGATAATGATGGATCTTCGAATCTTGTCAAGAGCTTATGATTGTCCTCATATAGTCCACTCATATGGTTACATCATCACCGAGGTAATATCTTGGGCTTACTATAATATCGCTCCATCGTATTTCTTACAGAATGAAGTTATGATATGTATGGAGGCAATGGCCACTTGTTTGGATCTGCTTTTGAAGCGAACGAATAATGCTCCGATTCCTGAGCCGATAGTTGGAAAAATGTCTGTCAGCGTGGTGAAAGCGCTACATTATCTCAAGACTAATCATGTGGGTTTGTACACTTCTACGCGTGCATCAATCATCAGACAAATGTGAGATTATTTTTATTTTTATGAGCTACAGGTTTTTTCTCAAAAAGGAGCACTGCGAGAATATATCTTAGCATATCGAATGATCATTTAGAAGCTTTTGAAGATTTTCACACTTATTTTATTTATGGCTGGAGTAAAAAGACTCAGCACTTATGATGAGTATAAATTTTCTGATCTCCTCAAACGAAACAAAATCTTTATCTCCATCCACAGTCAAGCAAGAGATTCAAGCTTTCCAACGATGAGAACTTAGATACCTGAATAGGACCTTCGATCCGCCTGAGCAGCTTTGGCTTTAATGACTCGAACCAATCGGTGGAAACGCAGCCACTGAGAAGCATTGAGTAGTAGAAATCGACCATCTCTGCTTTTGATTGTTGATTGTTTGACTAGAGGAACCAAGGGAGGTTCTGAATAGGGAATTTTCACTTTCCAGAATTTTGAGTTGAAGAATTGGTGATGCTACCTAGAATTGTGGTATACTATCTTATATATAAAGCTGAATGTCTGTTTGTATGTATGTATGTCTGTCTGTCTGTATGTCTGTACGTATGTTCCGAATAGAAAATTCCATTTCTGAACCGATCGGGACCAAACTTGGCACACATACACTACGGGCCCCGGCGGGTGTCATAGGCTACTTTTCGTCATCGATCGATATCGATTTTATCGATTTTATCGATTTTTTTTGCAAAGTTTGAGCTACGGGGCTGGGAGTTGGCACAGGGGGGTAATCGAGCATGGGGATTCCGAATACAATATTGGTTTTCAGGATTATCGATTACTTTTATCGGTTTTATCGATTTTTTTGCAAAGTTTGAGCTACGGGGCTGGGAGTTCGCATAGGGGGGGGTAATCGAGCATGCTGATCATCCCCAAGGGGGGTGATCAGCATGCTCGATTACACCCCTGTGCCAAATTCCAGCCCCCTAGCTCAAATTTTCAAAAAATCGATAAAATCGATAAAAGTAATGGACGATCTTGAAAACTAATATTGTATTCGTAATCTGCATGCTCGATTACCCCCTGTGCAAACTCCCAGCCCCGCAGGTCAGAATTTACAAAAAATCGATAAAATCAATAAAAGTAATCGATAATTCTGAAAACTAATATTGTATTCGGAATCCCCATGCTCACTTCCCCCCCTGTGCCAACTCCTAGGCCTGTAGGTGAACTCCGCAAAAAAAATCGATAAAAATCGGTAAAATCGACATCGATCGATAACGAAAAGTGGACTGTGACACCCGCCGGGGCCCGAAGTGTATGTGTGCCAAGTTTGGTCCGGATACGGCGGAGCCGGGTAAGCCAGCTAGTAGCCAATATTACAAATGCGTCTACGAAGTGCTTGACCAAGATTTCAAACGTATTTTTACCCTATGGACCCGTACAGATTGCCTGAAATGTGTTAGAAAACGCATAAACTTATTACAGGACCCTATAGTCGCTCATCATGCGTTGCAGCGATATGCCAGTCACCAATATTTACTTCTTTTGCCCGTCACAGATACCAACCCTAATGATTTCAGCTGGTTTCCTTTCTTGGGGCACTAAGGATTAATTGATTGAGCCATTTAATTGTGTTCATCTCTGCTTGTCTTTCCTAAAGTTCTTTATTGCTTTTTGCTAATAATGGTCATGTGCAAGAAAATTCATCTGGGCCCATGTGCATCTGTAGTGCCTACATCACGGGACACTTCACAAGAGTACCTTTCAAATGCTAAAAGTTACTTTTTTTTCTACATGTCCCTTCTTGCTGCATTGATATCTATAAAGTTCCACAATATTTTGCAGATTCTCTTCTTTTTACCAGCTCTAATTTTCATGTAAACTCTAATGATTACCTTTCGAAGCAATTACTTGTTGCATATCGTTTGTCCCAAATGAACCGGAATCGAGTATCAATCAAATATTCGTAGTCGAATGATCTATTCGAACTAGGATAGTTGACAATTCAGGAAAGTGCATTTGTTTGATTATTCAAATAGTCGAATAAGTGGAAATGACATTTACTCGAATATTCGTTTATTCAACGAATCGAAGAAATAACTTATTCGATTATCCGAATGTCAAATGTCGAACATTCGAATAAGTTGTCTTTTCGATTTGTCGAATAAACAAATATTCGAATAAAGTTTTTCATTTATTCGACTATTCTAATAACCGAAATGCTCTTTCCTGAAACTTGACTATTCTACTTTGAATAAGTGATTACAATACGAATACTAAATAATATTCGGTTTTAACTACATATACTAGCGACAGCATTCTTGTTGGTTCACTTGAAGGCAGTGTTCGGGCAAGAATTCGATTTCTAGAAAATCCCATAGCGCTAAAAATCTACATTAGAAAGCGCGAAAACGGCGAGAACACGATTTTCAGAGGCTTACAATATGAAATAAGAAGGTTCCGCCAAGGCTGAGATGCAGAGTTGCTGCGGGATCCTACAAATTCACCTGTGGTATCATGTTTGTCACATAGCGGGAATCCAAACAGGTGGAGAGCTTCGCCCAGGGCGTTAGTTTTCCAGCTTTCTGACCATATTTTTCTTACTTATGGTCGAAAGTTTGACTTCGCATATGCGCGATGGTATGTCCGAGGGGGCTCAATTTCGCATGGCACTGAAATCCAAAACCCCCGCCTTGTCCAGGCACTGCCAAAACTGGACTAATGAAATAGTGCTTGTGTTTGATAGAGCTATCATGGAATAGGGTCTTCTCAAGTCCGAGACCTCGGTAAAATTTGCAGTAAGCCCAAGAAGAATAACTTTTCGTCAAATGCTACTGAAGCTCAGATTGTCTGCCACTGTATGCGAAGCGCCATTAGTTACCTTCTTTTCCGAACAAATGACTGATTGCAGAATGTGATTCATCGTGATGTGAAGCCGTCTAACATACTTCTGGATTGGAATGGAGTTGTGAAGCTTTGCGACTTCGGTATTAGTGGTTTTCTGATAGAAAGCAGAGCGAAGTCCAAGGGAGCTGGGTGTCCTCCGTACATGGCTCCGGAAAGAGTGCGGGTAACTGTACGTCTTGACTTTATTTTTCATTACTGTTCAAGGACTGCTCGATCATACGCAGGAAGATACTCCATATGATATACGCAGTGATGTTTGGTCGCTTGGAATAACGCTGGTTGAGCTTGCAACTGGGCACTTTCCATACAAGGGGACAGACTTCCAGATAATCTCGTCCATCCTAGAGTATCCAAGCCCTTCATTAAGACCATCGGTTTGTTTATCCTTACTTGCTGAAATCTTTTGTTCCTTGGGTGTTTCCAAAGCTAACTCTTGTGTAAAATGTGGATGGATTCTCTGTTGAAGTTTCGAAATAGCTAGCGATTTAATATTGGAGTGATGGTGATTTTCACCCATCAGATGATATAAAAAACAAATTAGATTGTGAAGTGGAGCAAAAAAGAACTTTTTTTCTGTCAAGGGATGAAGGAAGAACAATATTTCTCTCAAAAATGTGGCGACCATTGATTCTGGTGTGGTGCCTCATTACTGTAAAGTACTATGGGACTTCTAGCATATTAGTGTTACCGTGATAACTGTTACTCCAGATAATCACTACCACCTGAATTTTTTCATGAGATTCTCAGTCATCTTGATTACAGAAAATGAATCCTGTACGGTATTGAGATTGTTTGGGTGGCAAAATTGAATTTTTGAAGATGAGGAAACATCTGTCATTGATTCGGCGTGATTATTGAAACAGAATACTAAGTGCAGATTGTCTGTTCAGGGCAGCCACTCTGATTGACTTGCATCAAAAGTTTGCTGCTTTCAAAAGTCTTGGCTGTGACAAAAATTGGTTCTCAATGGCATACTCCAAGTTTTGATGATTTACAGTAAAAAGAGCATGCTCCAGGCTGTAAATCTAGGTTGAATTGGTCCTTTAACTGCGGTATGAAGGCGCTAGTTATAGAACAGTTGCCGCAGTTTTGAAACACTTTCTAGATGTAGAATCAATTTTCAAACATCGTCGTCAATTGACATCATTGGTCTCGGGATGGATTGTGTTTGTCTAAGCCGTCGAACTTGTTGTGCTCCCGGAGTTCAAAGACATCAAGAGAACACAGCTTGTAGAGTTTTCAATTTTTTTCTGGGATGAAAAGCAAATACTATCAAGTGGTACCGATCACTATTAAAATGGTGTCCGAAAGCCATGATCGCAGCATATTGGAGGTGAAATTTGACTAAGACATCATTCAGGATGGCTACACACCAGAATTTTGTGAGCTAGTCGATTTGTGTCTGAGGAGGAATGTGGAGGAACGACCGGTATATACCGAAATACTGGTTAGTCACTTACGATTTGGATTATAGTGATTATCAAGACTCTTGCAGAAGCATCCATTCATTGTGAGGAATGAAAATGCTGACACTGATGTTTCGGAATGGTTTGGCGAGATAATGACACTTAAATGAAGCCGGTTGTTTTCACTCTTCGAAAACCCGCTTATTCTACCAAACAGGCTTACCAAAATCTGTGTTACTGTATTTTTTTGCGCAGTTATGTTCTAGAGTATATGTTGTTTGTAAATTCGCCGTACGGGTCTTCTATGTACATGTTGGCTGATGTGCACCTCACTGTTAACAACATCTAAGGCCTCCAAGATTCAAGGGGTAACATGCGCAAAGTGGTTGGTTTTTGTAAGGTACACAGAGCATAAATGTTGCATAAGTGGGTTTTTCTTGCTAGTTTTGCTCGTTACTCCGACAGTCTTCTAGACAGCTCCGCGGGGCGTTGTGGAACGGTCTTGCCGGTTACTTACGCTTTCGCATCCGCTCTGCGTGAAATTTTCAGATGTCTTTCAGTAAAAACGAATCTTTGTATCTGATTGCTTATTGAAAAATCAGTCTCTGAAAGAAATGCACAGCGGAACACAAAATTATCTATATAGGATAAAGTACCAAAAGCCTTGCACACAGTAGATTGATTTACACCAAAAGGATGCATACGCAGTTTTTAGGTGTGTAAGCCGCACCAGGGTCCAGCAAGAGGTGGCAATTGAGAATTTTGAAAAAAGTCCCCCATGACATTGCAGAATATTACAAAATAACTTTTGTGCTGTTTGTAGAAGTAGCTAATAACCCAACGATGAATAAATGGAAGTTAAGAAAAGACAGCGGAAATTGGGAAAGGGGGTTTTTATATCATCGAGGGTCGTAGCAAAGCAAAGGAGACGAAGCTTGTGCTAAGGTAAGTGCTCAATGGTAGGGCATCAACTGAAGATTAATCGTGTGAATTTAAAATTATGTGAAGAAGGGAGGAAGTTACGACTCTATTTGGTTTCGCGCAAACTAGGATGCTCTCAAGGGCTTGGCACGAGATGGCTTTTCAGTTTTCTCGAAATGAAGTCTTCGTAGCAGAGGTGCGATAGGTGGAGCCGGGCCCCGCAAAAGTGAAGGTGGTCCCAGCTACCACTGGCAGGCCAAAAGTGAAGGTGGTAGTGCCGGACACTCACCTCCCAAAAACGTCGACCGGGGGGGGGGGGAGCAGAGTTAACGTCTATCCTTCCAGGTCGTTGCCGCAAGTGCGCGGAAAATAAGCAAACAAATGCAATAAGGATTATTAAAAGCATATTTTTTTGTATACAGCGTCACAAATATCTAAAATAAACGTGCTTATCAAATGGTTTATTTGGAAGTAAAACTCAGCGAAGCTGTACGGATTTTATTAAGTTAATTTTGTTATAACATAGAGCGAAGAAAGTAGGTCGATCCAGGCAGTAATCGCTGAGAACCAGAATTTCGAATGATAAAATAATGAAAAATCGTGAAAAATCATTCCACTGTTACAAATCTGCTGGCTGAAGACCTCCGCAGTTGCGACTTCATAGGTTTTGAAAGGTAAGTGTTGTTCTACCAGACAGTGAAACAATCAGTTTGATTTGAGGAGTGGCCGCCGAGAACGAGAATTTTGAAAAACCTCAAAAATCTTCTCAATTTTAGGTTGCTTAAAGACATGGCATTTAAACTCTTATAAATCCGGACTTTGAAGGTGTGTGATGTTGCGACTTCATAGGTTTTGTAGGGTGAGGTTTGCCCTATCAGAATATGTCTTAGCTGTACCGATCCATTGAAACATCGCCGAGATACAGGCTCTTGAAAAAGCAGGTAAAAAATCGTTTTTCAGCTCATAACTTCTTCAGAACTGCAGAATCATGTTGCGACTTCATAGGTTAGATTCTCCTCTTCAAGAGCTTTCAGATGATATATAATATGTGGGGGATTCAATGTTTCTTGCGGCTCTAACCCGGGGTGGAGTACTCCTCTTCACTAATTCTCCACCCAGCCCATTTCAATGTATTGGCGGGAGGCCGCCAATGGAGAATTAGTGAAGAGGGGTACTCCACCCCCGGGCATATGCCGTGAGAGGCGTGAATCCCCCACATTTCATACATCATTTAGAAGCTCTTGATGAGGAGAATCCAACCTATGAAGTCGCAACATCACACACCTTCAAAGTCCGGATTTATAAGAGTTTAAATGCCATGTCTTTAAGCAACCTAAAATTGAGAAGATTTTTAAGGTTTTTCAAAATTCTCGTTCTCGGCGGCCACTCCTCAAATCAAACTGATTGTTTCACTGTCTGGTAGAACAACACTTACCTTTCAAAACCTATGAAGTCGCAACTGCGGAGGTCTTCAGCCAGCAGATTTGTAACAGTGGAATGATTTTTCACGATTTTTCATTATTTTATCATTCGAAATTCTGGTTCTCGGCGGTTACTGCCTGGATCGACCTACTACATAGATATATGCTCTTAATACTTTCTTTTACATTCCTTTTGCTTATTTTCCTTCTTTTGAGCTTTAGAAAAAATTTTCAAACCCAAAAGTGAAGGTGGTCACCCTGTACCAGCTCAAAAGTGAAGGCAGGCGGAGAATCGGCTCCGACTATCGCACCTCTGCTTCGTAGGCTTTGCAACGAAAATCATTCCCTTTGACACCTCATTAACAGAAAAAAAACGTGATTACGAAAAAAGAATAGAAAAAGTATAGAAATTGCATTGAACAGAAGATAAAGAGAGCTAGCGATCTTCGTTTTCTCCGAATTGGCGGGCCGTGTCCGGCGCGCATCAGTGCGAACTTGGAGCAGGATTGACGCGCGCGCATCAGTGCAGGATTGACGCCTCCATACAAAATTTTTGGAAGGCTGTAACTAGGCGAGGAGGAGAAGATTTGGATAGGTTTGATTACTCGTTTATAGGGTTTTTGATGTACATTGAAACTATGTAAAATTTGTGAAGAAATTACGTGAAGGGGAAGAAACTTATGGCTTTATGTGCTGTGAGAGGTGGCTCGAGAGCCACCTGACTCCGAAAAATGTTTGCCACGCCCTCGATTCACATAACTTTTTCATAATTTTTCATACATAGTTCCAACTCCCTACTGCGCATCTACACATCAGTTTTGGTGTCATATGTCTATGTCTATGGTTCTGTGTTCGCTGTTAACAAGCCTTTTATTTATTTCCGGGCACATTTTTGAATTCTTCCGCTTGTAGGGAGAGCATATTGGCGGTATGTAGGTTTTGCAGAAGATATCTCTAGGGTAGTGATGAGCACCTGCGAGGTCTTCAGAAGGTAAGGAGGTGAAATGAAAGCGGGTAGGGGCGATTGTTGCGGGGAAAGGATAAAGTTGGGTTTGTTTGTGTATTACTCATATAACCATAGCTATGAGATGTTTTGTTTGTCGAGGGCGAGGAAAGTTTATTGGTTTAATGGACATAAAATTGGCCAAATCGTCAAAGTTTATTACTCGTTTGATGTATCTAAAAACAGTTTCAGGTTGCTTTTCGTGATCAGAAGCTTCCCTAATAGATTTTTAGCTCTCCCGGTACTCGAGTTTTACACTTGGTTGACATTTATCCGCGTGGCGCTTTGGACTGGTCGGGTGTGAAATGGGATGCGTTTGAAAGCTTAGAAACATTTGAACTTCTACGGGTACCTTTCCCTAACAGAGTTATAGCACTTTTAAGCAAGCATAGGTTCCCGTAGGAAGCGATTGGAAATAAGTTGATACTTGATACTAATCCTTTAAGAAAAACCCATGCACTCCTAGCTAATTTGGGCTTGGATATGCTACATGTTGCTCCAGTCATAGCTCAGATTCTTCTGATGCTCACATAGTTTATTTTTTGAAACATGACAAAGAATGCTTGCCTGCTCTCTACAGGCTTCTTCTATGCGTGCCATATGTACCACCTTCTAGTCCCCCTCCTCCCCCCCCCCCCCAACTTTACTCAGGTCCGTATGCACTAACATTTTTGCGGCGAGGGGAGCGGCGTCCCCCGTTATAAAGGGACCGCGTGCGGACGCCGCTGCGGGTTTTTCATCATTGGGGACGCCGCTCCCCTCGCCGCAGGGATGTTAGTGCATGCGGCCCTCAGACAACCGACGGGATACTTCAATGGGCAAAATGGTGAACTTCCGGGATCTCCCCAGCGGTGGCTGCTTCGTTCACCGGGTCCTTCCCTGTGCTCCGGAAGTCCACCCGAAAGCTTATTCCGCAAACCCTGCATTTTCGCGGCTGGCATACTGAAAGTCACCTGAATTGAGCTAGGCATGCTGTAACTACTCCTAATTAAAGGCAGTGGTTCGGCAAATTTCAACCTAGTCAAATTTTAGCTTACCTGGGGTTATTCAATACGCTGATCTCGAAAATCTACTTTAGAGAGCTTGAAAACGGCGAGAACGAGCGTTTTCAATGCCCTTTTCTTCGAAAGTAGACGAGTGGAGCAAGGCTGATGACGCTGAATCGTTGCAGGACCCAATGTTTATAGCACTGCAGCGGGCAGCCTCCAATGGTGAGGAGGAATTTGCCAATTCGTCCGGGCGCGTGTAAGATCGGCCTGCGCGTGTAAGTTTGAGAGCAATTTTCTCGGCAGGGAAGGCATGCTGTGCAACCAGGATTGCACTATTTACATACTTGGGCGATAAGGAATCTAGCGCGTTAAAATCTTAAGTTGTTAGCTTTTGCCGATTCACTGCCTTTAAGTCACAAAGTCCTGTTTTAGCCCCTTAACCCCATCCCAAGCTACCTCTAGACACTCAATCACTCTGAATTACTTTCTATCGAAAAATGCGAACACTAGTACTAGACATAATATTATTTATTTGTATTAGTAAAGTAGCAGACATAAGTTCTGGTAATGAATGAGAATGTGATGAAAAAAAAGTAACAGAAGAAGCACTCGTTTTGCAATGAGGAAATATTGAGAGAGATCTAAATGAGATAAGACGAAAAATTCACGTATGGGAAATCGGTCGGTGTCATAACAACAAATACAACACGGGAATAACTAGGAGAGACAAAGAAGATATGAGGCAGAAATGAACATTCAAAAAACTCAAAGTGAAAATAATAAGTGAAGTCGGAGACAGGGGAATTGAAAAGAAATCATTTTCATTGGAGTGCAGAGCCATTCCTTGTAAAACAGACAGTTGAGAAATAAAGATCGACGACAGCCTGGACATATAACGGCATATAAATTCAAGCGTATGTATACATCGATGACTCACCTTTTGTAGATGGATTTTCAACTCCCTTGAGAGGCACCGTGCAAGGTCAAACTATCG